TTCAATCAAATCACATTGCATAAATAAAGTGAAAGACAAGTTAATTTTATTTTCAAGTCCCAACCATATGGTAGCGCACTTTATGGGTTAATGACGCATAAAGACGCACGCAGGTTGCTTGGTCATTAACAGAATTTACGACTAGGGATGTCACCTGTTTTAAATATCAAAATTGAGCTTACTTAAAACCGCTACTCTAAACTAAAAACTTTAAATGTTTAACCTTACAGGAAGATCAAATTTATTAATTTTACAACTGAGCTTATATTATACACTGTTGTGTAATATATGAATGTTTGTTTATTATAATGGCTGTGCTCTGCTATAATGGTTCGAGATCTGGGTTTATCGACGTATGCTTAAAATATCTTGGACAGACCGCATACGACATACAACCGTGCTGGACAGAATGCAGAAGAACTAAGAAGTGCTTATGATGGTTAAGAAAGCAAACTTGAGTATTTTGGATACGTTTTACGAGTCAAAAAATACGAGCTCCTTCAACTAATCATACAAGGCAAAGTGGCAGGTAGAAGGTGACCTGACTTAGACAATGGTTTGGTCAAAGCACCAAGTCGTTGTTTAGAAGAACCAACATTAACCTAGCCATGATGATCGCCCACCTTCGCAAAGAGATGGCACTATAAGAAAAAGAAGTAGTCCGCTGTCACTGTCAACAAACTCAAACTCAAAAATACTTAATTCATACAGGTAACCAAGAACACTTATGAACGTCAACAGATTTTTTTTTAAATTGAATCTAAATTAACGTTTACTACCAGTTCGCAAGTCAAGAGCGTAGAGTGGGCAAGAAGAACTCCGCCACTCTCTTTAATCACCATTTGTTGAGTTTGTTTGTTTGTTTGAGTTGTTTTGAGTCATACAAATACAAAAACTGCAAATCAATCCCAAGGATTAGAAACATTTAATAATCATTAAAATGTATAAAAAGCTGCATTGATTAATTTACGTTTACCGAGAAATTTAATTTATTCAGTGATGATTGTATAATTTCGCTTGGGAGTTTGTTGTAAAAACTAATACAATTTCCGTACAAGGAGTGGTTTATCTTCTGGAGCCTGACAGTCTCGCTAACGTCAAAAACTTATTAGATTTTGAGATTATGCGCTAAGTCTCAACTGTATAGTGTCTCTCTACACCTTAACTGTTCGTAAAAGCGATATAACGTCATAGTACCCTCGAGAAGTCAAGACGAGGGAACACGAGAGTAGTATTATATTTGTAACTTCGACAGCCCTATTTACGACACCATTGTATTAGGGATTTTTATTAGGATGTAGGCTTAATAAAACGTTTTATACTTGCGTTTTCCCGGTGGACGCGTAAATTTCTCGACTGAGATTCTTTATCATCAGCCCGTTAAAGTCGGGACAACGGTTTTCTTAATGCTTGCGTATATTTGCAGGAATAAATAGCATTGATAAATGAAAATTTCATTGTGAAACTATTCATAAACTATTCTGGCAATTTTTTAAAACTAAAAAGCGACAATCACTTCACCATAATTCCAGACATTATCAAATTGTATTAAGGAGGCTCAGGGCTTGGATCTTTGCTAAATTCTAATGGTGTTATTATATCACCGCATCAAAGGCTGGCAACGCACTTGCGAGCCTTTTGGCAATGTGAGTGTCCATGGGCGGCGGTATTACTTAACATCAGATGTGCCTCCTGCTGGTTTGCCTCCTGTAAGATAAAAAAAATCATAGTTTTTGGAAGTGGGAGAATCTATGAAGGATAGAGAGGTCATTTTAAGCACATTTCTTATCTATGTCTCCAGTACTCAATTTGACTTATTGAGTACAAAAAAAAAAATAATACAAAAAAATTGAAGTATGAATTTCTGTAATTTATGGTTTATTAGTTTGCGAAATACAAACACACAAATCTTTCTCTTTTTATTATTATAGAAAAGATTGTATAAACAAATTTGCTAAAAATACATAGAAAAATATAAACTTTCAAAATTCTACCTTGTTTTAAAGCAAAGACAATTGTGACTCTTTGTGTCTCTGTCGTCTTTTAAACATATTTATATTCTTTAAATAAAAATACATATCTATGCAAAAATTGTCTTTGGATGTTGTAGGTACTCTATATCAAAGACTTTATATTTATAAAATCTTTGTTGAAAGACAATTTATGTTTTAATAAAAATACATATCTGTGGAAATATTGACTCTGGATTTCTCAGACAATATGGGTATAAGAATTTATATTTCAAAAGCTCAATGTAATTGAGGAAGGCCTCATACAGTCAAATTTAGTAGAACTAAAACCTTTCCATGATTCCTTTCCAAGCTAGAATTCTTGGATCCGTCCTTGGAAGGAAGTCCACATCTGCTGGCACCCTTCCGTTCCTTTATACGTATTTCGGCTTTGCCCTTATATTGACTCCTTTTATCAACAAACTCATTGGAGCATGAATTAAGTTCATGATAAGAAAGTTTTCTAATTATATTTCTCACCAAGTTACGAAGTAATATCCGTTTAGCGAAAGGGTTAAGAAATTCTAAATTATACGTATGTATATGTATTTACAACTAGGCGGAAATTTGTTCTTTACACATGGTTCGAAACTTCGGAATACGCCTGATGCAAAATATTCGATTCGTAAAGAGTGCAGAAATTAAATATTTTAAGTTTTATTGATTTTTTTATAGAACATGATTGAACCTTTTTGTTTATGCTATAATCGGCTCGAATATAAGAGTCTTTCCTCCAACTTCGATTTTGTTCCCTTTTCCCTTTTTGTGCAATGGAGTTCAACTGCACAGGCGAAATAAAATATTTAAGTTGGCACCTGGTATATAGGACTGGTGACTCCAGAGCTGGTGCTTTCCTCGCTCAACAAATAAGTATCGCAACACAGCGAGGAAATACTGCAAGCGTTACACTGCCACAGGGACCAAACTCTTTAAATTTGTTTTGATTTTCTTTTTATTTATTTTTTGATTGTTATGATTGTGTTAAAGTTCTTATGTATTCATCTTTGGCAATATGTTTAGTATAATTGTTTTTAATAATATATAATATATAATGTCAATTTTAAAAAAGAAAAAATTTTAGAAATTTAATTTGTTCATATTATATGCTTTGCGTGCAAAGCCGCAAAGATGGTGTAACCAAACTATAGCAGTTAACCACAACAAACTTCTAAATTAAAGTGACCAACTATCAGATCCGAGCCACCCCAAAGGAAATCATTTAAAAACTAATTGAATTATAGGGTAAGTGGTCCTATTTCGGTCCCCGAGCGTCCATTGCAATTTGATATCGTATCTTCAAGATAAAAGCTTTCCTTGTCAGCTTTATTAAAGGGGAATGACAATAAATTGCGGATTTAATTTAATTCTAGATTAGCTGAAACGTTTTTATCGAAATATTTCACTAATCAAATTAAATAAATGTATTCTAAAAATATCCTGGCTGCTGAAAAGTAAATATCGTGAAGAAACCGTCATGTCAAAAATAATTGTGACAAATGGAACAAGACCTGGCTGTATGGACGAAAGTCCTTTGCCTTTCCGATTAGGGATAAATTACTATTATCATCATGTGACAAATGGAACAGATGCAGAAATATATCTGTATTAGAAGTACAGTCTGCGGGACTTCCGACTACATATTTTTTTTATAATGGGGGCAAACGGGCAGGAGACTCACAAGTCACATTGCCAGAAGGCTAGCAAGTGCAGGTCTTTAGGAATTGAAACGCTCTTTTGTTGCTAAGTCGAATTTGTTCGGAAATACTTCAGTGGGCAGCTGGTTCCACATAGTGGTGGTGCGCGGCAAAAACTGCCTAAAGTAACGCTCCTATTATTCTACGATGATGAAACTCAGCTGCAGTTATTACGCCTTTTAAAATTATTTGAGCAATAAATAAAGCACAAAGATAGCATGAAGATGTATATGTGATATCATTATTATGAATTATGTAATAAACCAATAACAGCAACAATATTTATATGTGATAACATATAATGTAATAATTACAAATTGTATCAGACTCATTGTGATCATTTATACTCATAGAAGTATATAGTTATATACAAGATACCCACGTGGACCTACATAATTTATTTATATAATATTATTTAATATATAATAATTTATATATATATTTATTTAAGTCGAATCTAAAACGACATAGTATGCCAGTGGCTACTGACATTCATACATTATAATTGTAAGTCAAAAGATTGTTAGGTCAGTTTATTCTCTTGTCTGAGAGCAATATTCATAATTTATTGATGATTTAATTTCATACTTCCAAAGACTCAGGATCTGGGCAAGTATATAATTCTAAATATTAAGTGTTCTGTATTCATCTGTAATAATCGTTTGACATACGTAAGAGAGGTATTATAAGAGTAAGACAGCGATACAGAGAAACAACGTTATTAGAGTGGAAGGATCATAGAAAAGATTGTTTTTTTGTGTCGCGTTGTTATTTCGATATTTGACTTCAAAAACTGACCCTGGATTGGAAAATATCTAACTAGACTTAGAGAAAATATATATGTGTGACCCACTTGTCTAAGAGGTTCTTAGATTTCTAGCATTAACACTAAACTTTATTCATAATTCACATTTTAATACAATACACGGCTTCAAAAAACATAGACACCTTAAATAGCTATCTCGTGCAGTTTATCCACTACCCAGTCTAGGCGATTAATCTAGTCCATAACTCCAAAAAATGATTCTTGAGTGCATAGTCTGTTTATACAGATAATTATTATGACAATCCAAGACTACTAAACATAATAATAATGACAAATGACAATCATTACAATTTACACTTTAGAGCGGTAAATTTTTGCCGGGAAAGCAGAAACTGGAATGTTAGAACTTAGAAAGTTAGAAATCATTTTTTTTTTTTTCAACTCTTTATTATTCATTAGTTATTGTTTGAAATCGAGTTCTTAGTGAATTTTAGGATATAGCTTTTTATTTAAAAAACTAGTTTCATCATTATGGCAAAGATCAAATTAAACTTGATTGCTGCAGCATGCGAAAATATGGGGATCGGTGTAAATGGGACTCTTCCTTGGCGTTTAAAGTATGTATAATTTAATTATTACCCTAATTCTGAGGTAGCTTGCCACATATTTAAAAACAATCAAGCGTGAACAAAAGTCTAACAGCACTATACATCAAGACAATGGAATGACTGTGTCTGTACAAAAAAAATCAATATAAAAATAATAATTTCCGACTATAGAATAATGTAGTTTTTCCTTTTGAAACTCATTTTCTTATTACTTAATGGTACTTTCAGAAACGAAATGGCATACTTCACCAAAATGACATCTGTGGTTCAGGACAACTCCAGGCAGAATGCTGTTATAATGGGAAGAGTAACATGGGATTGCATTCCACCAAAATATAAACCTTTGCCTGACAGAATTAATATCATCCTAACTAGAAACGTTGATGATGTTAAAAAAGGGGTAAAATTAACATTCACAATCTATAGGAAGTGATCCCCTTTGTGATAGATCTGGTTACAATATAGATAGATGAAAACTGTAAAAAAAATATTTAACTTTAAGAATTTAATAATCAATTATTATCAAATGTGTAATGTTTTATACCCACAATTCTAACTAGAAATATGTTTAGGTAATTTTAACAATGACCTGTGTGTAGTGTTAGTTTATTTCATAAATATGAATGAAATGTTTATAGATATGAATATAATATTTTATTTATTCCTATTTTTATTTCTAGGTCCCGAATGGTGTAGAAGTTGTAAATAATTTAGATGAAGCTATCAAGTTAATAGAGAGTCGTTCCGACATTGAATCTGCATGGGTTATAGGTGGTTCACACATCTATAAAGTAAGTAAAATCTTAATTTTTCTTTTGTTCCATAAAAAAAATAATATATCATTGATATATGAGTTCTATGAATTTGTTAAACCTCGTGGACAGACAAAACGATCTATAGTTTATGTTACCAACACGCTACCACAAACTTATTTTTTATATGTATCAATAATTTGTTAGACTGTCTACTCAACATGGTTGTCTCTTGATTAAATAGTTACCAGACCATGCTATGCTAAACAATGAGGTTGTACTATGTTGTGAAGAAACAGGAATGTCTTCGACAAAAATGGATGACATGCCAGGCACAGCAGGCTAATCTTCTACTTGCTTATAAGAGACAAATTAGTGAAGAAACCCATTCTAGCACCTCTGGATTATTTTTTTTCTTATTAGTACATGTTAAAATAATTCCTTAACTGAGCACCAATTTTATGAGACTAGTATATAGCATTAGAAAGAGGACTATTTTAATTTTCTAAATCTTAGCATAATCTAGCATAAATAAATACCTATTATAGATATTTCTTTTATTTCATTAACTGTTTTAAGGTGTTGAATCAGACTTGTCTTAAAACAATAATAGATGTCGCTATCAGGCTTTTAATTTTTGTTATTTATATATATTATATGCATTTTATTTTGGATAGCACTGTTAGATTAATGGTTAATTCTGCAATTCTTATATCTATTACATATATGTATGTTCTTTTTCTTTTCAGGCAGCCATTGAACACCCAAATTGTGAAAAAATATATTTAACTGAGATCCAAAAAAAATATGAATGTGATACCTTTTTTCCCGATTTTGATAGAAAACAGTTCCAACTTATAAACGAAGATGGCGTTGTAAGCGATAAGCATACTGAAAATGGAATCGAATATTATACTAGGGTTTATAAGAAATGTTACTAGTGAAGGTTGTGAATAAAAATTACGTTTGTTGAATGTTTTTAATTTAATATAAAATCGAATTATAAGGAAGAAAATAATAGATGTTATTTTTTTATGTTTATTAAGAATATAAAATAAATATGAATTATTAAAATGTTTATTGAAATTTACTAATATAACGAGACACACGATAGCGATAACGACAGCTACAATGTACATTTTAAAGCAAATTTAGGATCACTTATACAAGCCTCTTAAGATATTTTTTCCTTAAACAAATGCAATAAATAAATGATATATTATATTGTTTTCTCTTAATTGGTAGTATAAATTGTTTTAACTACTACTAACAAAGCGAAGATAATTTTTTTTATAAGTAATTATATAAAAAGTTTAACAATTATAAAAATAATTATTATTGTTTAAGACATCACGCTGTCGTTGAATGATCAAGTTATTATAATATAATGGCAAATTAACAAAAGAAATAACTATTAATTACAATATAAAAATTATCGAACATTTTATTTATAGCATTAAACAATCTGCAGCGACGTTCTTGTATGCCATTAATTTGTAGATATTTAAATATCAAGCGCGCGGCATAATAACTCAACATTAAATTTTGGCTAAAATATCCCGCGTGCTTTACGACTTGCATGTTGGCCTGTTATATTACTACCTATTTGAATATTTTCTTACGTGCCTTTTATAAATAAAGACGATACATCATAAAATTTCAACTTTACACGGAATTTCTTGATTTTGTTCTTTACTGCATGAGATTCTGGTATTACAAGGAAGTATTTAAAATTTATACAGCTAAAGGCATGTAGAATTTGATAGGTTTAACAAAATAAAATTACATGGCTTGTTAATGTTCATGCGTTTATTCTTCCTCGTTACTTAATTATGACTGTTACTCTGTGATAGGTATACTTATAAAGAAATAAGTGATTTTATTATACTTACCTGTAACGCGCTACTTTCGATCAATTATATTATTTTGTGTAAGTTAACCTAAATGTGAAATGAAGCCACGGGAGTCAAAGTGGCGACCATATTAACTGTCTATTCAGTGGTTACAAATGCATTATTTTTAGTTTTTTTTCTTTTTGAAAACTTTGTTTTAACATTTAGAAATTAATTTTCAAGACATGCAATCACTTGCAGGGTAAGACAAAAACCGGTTATTATAAAATTTATTAGGCCTAATAGTGCTATTCCAATATATTATCTCTTGACCTTATTTCTTCACCTTAAGGCCTTTGGTCAATTTCTGTTTACTTTTGTTAAGAAGTTCTTTAAACTTTTCTATTAAAATTGATTATTTAATTGTGACATAGACTAAGACTGCTAACATTGTTATGTTTGAAATATTTTGTTCATTATATTTTAATGTACAACACGATTCTTTACTGCAATATTTAATAATTTCCAATAAATTAACAGATTTTTACAAGTTATAAGACTAGCCCTTACCCGTACGACAATTTTCTACATACACGGTTGAGGGTCGTAATATCTCAACACTACGCTGAGTATTTCTTTGTGTTTTTTTACCAATCTTGATTAAAGATCTTTCCGTTATTACTTGTGAGGGCATTTAAGATGATCATTATAATTGGTTATAATGCTCACGAAACATCAGAAATCTGAGGCTGGGCTGTAGCGTCATTGTTTTTGAGCTGCCCGAGGTCAACAGCGTGATGCCTACAAACTTAACATATCTAAGCGTACCTACATAATATAAAATATACAAGCCGGATGGACTTTTTTATATTATGTAGTGATTAGGTATTATCTATATATATAAAAGGAAAATGGTCTTCGTTTGAGGCTCCTTCACGCCTAAACCACTGATCGTATCGACACGAAACTACCACCATTCGATGCGAATTTTTTTTATTGCTGTTTTACTTTTATGAAAATTTATCCATACGGACTTCACCGCGGAAACATTCGGGGAGGCTTCCTAGAACCTCTAAACGTCAACATCTGTTAAAAACTCGATTTTCGAAATATTTCAATTTTCTTAGCGGGAAGTTAAAAAGAAGAATAATAAAAATATGAAAAAAAATAAAATAATGAAACATAAAATTTATTTTAATTCGTCCAGCAAAGCGGGCGCGAAACGGCTAGTACAATATATATATAAATCCTCTTTTACCCTAAAATATTTGTACATACGGCGGGAATCAACTTTTAAACCTGCATAGTCTGGTTCAAATGTACAGCAAAGCCAGAGTCAAAAATTAGCTTTATCCAGGTATTTATTTATTTTCTTATTGAGTGTTTGTACAGCTACTTATTATACAATATCTAAACAATCACATTAAACACAAAAGCCAAAAACGGAATACACATTCAAACATAAAACAGTTAACAATTATTACCTACTTATACAATTAAAAATAAAATATATTTATGTATAATAAATTGTAAAATGCATTGATCATTATAATATGAAAGAGGAATAACAAAGCCATTATGTTTAATAAAGGATACCAGACTTTTTTAATTGGAATTATTGTTTAAGCATTTTTTAGTTATTTAATATATATATGATATATGACTGCGTAACGTTAAAGTTTGTATTAGACCGAGGAATTCGAAATAGTTGGGTTTGCCTTGTATTGTATGAAGAAGGGGTGGGAAAAAGTAAAAGCGACAATAAGTCAGAGCAGTCAATTAAACCGTTGCAATTAGCGTGTAAAAACATCATGTAATAATGTTTATTGTCTACATTCTACGGACTAAATACCAAAGTACAGGCAGGAATCTATATATAGCTACTATACCTTCGGAAATCCTTAAAACTTCAATTTTTTTTTTAAGTTCTCTATTGTTTCAATTCTTGTAATTTGGGGACCGAAAAGTGCATGTATATTCTAGTGTGTCCTAAGAAAAACAAAGTACAGGCATTATGCAATTTATATTCTTAAAAGGTCAAAGTAAAAATAACTCAATTGAATTCCTGTTAAACGTTTTCCTCGCATTGTGTTCCTCTTCAAATGTCACGCGAATATAATATTACATATATATATATATATATATATATAAGAGACAGGAAAATCGTTGAGAATACTACTTTCCCACGTGCTAATGGAATTTGTTCATTTGGATTATTTGTTAATAATAACTCTTATAGGAAGTTTTGAAAAAATAAACCATTTTACTTTTATCTATAGTTTCTTAAACAGTGGCGGACAAATATTCAAGGTATATATAGGCTGTGAAATTTTTGCCGCCCTTGCCTCTACAATTGTCATATCCTAGATTATTTTTAGAATCCAACAATTTCGTAGCACATAAAATATATTTTGGGTATGATTTATGAACACAAAATTATACGCAAACCATCCTGTTCGCGCCACCTGTAATAGGACTGACAGTTGACACGTATAGGTTGATAGAGGGAAGACGGAAATACAGTTTCTGCAATTTCGCTCTTTTCATTTATACAAAGTGTGAGCTGAGGGCGTTGAGCTCATCAGAAAACCGTCATGCAGAAATCTTTTTGATTTTTACGAGTAGCAAAAAAAAATCGGTCCCCAAATTTGCCGCCCTAAAAATCTCCAGCCTGCTGGTAAATCCGCCACTGTTCTTAAGCGCCCTCTCTCGCTGTCTGCCTATGATCGCCTGTTCGCTGAGATCCTATTAACTACGCAACACAGATTTTAATACGGTTTGCGACAATAGACAGAGATTTAAGTGAAAAGTTTGTAGAGATTTATTTAAATAATAATATCTATAGTACAACAAAGACTTTGATTGATATTTGAAAAGATTGAGACCCTAAACTTCAGATTCAGCTGACAGTACAGTCAAGACGTGAACTTAGAACAGGGGGCAACGAGCAGAAGGCTTATCTGATGTTAAGTATTACCGCCGTATACTCTCAATCTCAGAGGGCTTGCGAGTGCGTTGCAGGCCTTTTCCCACTATCTATACTTACTTCTGCCCTCTATTCCCCTCTTGACAGTCGGCTGGCGACACTCTTGGTGACTCCCGTGTCTTAAATCCAATACAAAGTCATACTTTGACTTCATTCTGAATGTCATCCTAAGAGCCGTCAAGAAAACATCTAAGAACTTAACTCTTCCTTAACAATATATATATTTCTATTAGCATTAGTTCTGATTGTCGATTAGAGGATACAATCGTGACTTTGATTACATATTGTTTTTATTTTTTTACAGAAAGTTAGCTACCATACGTAGGATAAATAATTCGGGAATGTTGGAGAGACTAGGGCTGCGACTGCCAATAGATTACTTAATACCATTTACTCAATAGGTACTATCCCATGTGAGACTGATCTATTTACTTGCACTGTCTGAATTCACAAGAATCGCATTATTCATAATTTGTTGTAAAGTGGTTTTGTGTTTTTCAGGCATTTGATATTATGTTCTTAGTCTAATTTTTGTTTAAGTTTTCTATTGCATTAGTATTAAGTTACTGAAAAATTGTAAATAAATATTAAAATAACGATACTTGTGTTCTTGTTTTTTATATTTATAAAAAACTAAATGATTAAATCTGTAATACATGAAGAGAGCAACTTTAAAATGGTGAGATTAAATCATGTGTTATTGTTCTAAATTTATCTGAGTGAGTGTAGTGTCTCGATTTAATTAAGCGTTAATTAATGATAAATGATGAGTCAAGTTTTAAAATTCAAGACGCAATTGATAAGGAAAACCCGTGATGATGCGATAAATTCCTGAGAAGACAGATTTTAATTAAAGACTATTTATGTAAGTATGTAGCGTACCAACGTAGGAATTTCTGAGTGCTATCGCCGCCTATCGACAGCCACATTGCCAGAAGCAAGTGCGTTGCCGACCTATTAGGAAGCGGTAGGTACACTCTTTTCTTGAAAGACCCTAAATAGAATTGTTTCGGAATTACTTCAGCTGGTTCCACATAGTGGTGGTGCGCGGGTAAAACTGTCTTGATGTTGTGGAACGACGGACGTCGAGGTGATACGGATGGTATTTTGTATGCCTTGACGTCCGATTATGAAACTCAGCCGAACTTAACCCGAACAACTCCTTTGAACACTCTATGGTAAATGCGGTAGAAGATGCAGACAGCAGAATATTTTTTAAAATTTTTTAATGTAATTCTGTGCATTCAGGGATTTATTTAGCAATATCGCGAATTCATTTTATAAAATACATTATTGCGGTATGTTAGATTTACGTTAAAAAATTTAAAATTTTAGATTTTGTACAAACATGCAAGAATTCCGTGTCGACGTCAGGTAATCGATGTACGAATAAAACACGACTTAAAATAATTATAATTTATTTAAGTGACTGCCACACCCATTGTATTTACAATAAATATTTAAGACTAACTTAGAACTATAATATCAGTCTACTATCTATAGATTTTACGTAAGCCCTCCATTGGGACAGGTTGCTAGTCGTCTTCAGGCGAGCCTTCAAAACCAACCACCGTTCGAAGTTTGGTGCGATATATTCGATATTTTTAAATAAGACATCTCTATAAATTTAATCTTTAACAAACAATAATATATCTATTCTAACAATTTCTAACTACGTGACATTTTTCTATCTCATACTTTATTTTCTAGGTGTATTTACCAACGGGTCTCCGTAAGTTGAATATTGCACCTCGATTTGGATGACATATAAAGGTACACTGTGTCACGGCTATTTTCGTAACCAACCTTGATTAAGTGGGATTCCCGTTCCATTCCCTTATTAAACCGGTAGAACCACAATCATATGAATACCACACGAACAAAAATTATCAAAATAATAGAAATGAAACATGTGTTTATATTATTATGTTACTGTATTGAAACTAAACCAAACCATGAGGTGACCTTTAAATAGCATTCACAAATTTCGTAGAAAAACTGTTTTCGCACTTCGATTTGTCAGAAACAAATGTTATCGTCTTGACTTAGCTAAGCTCGTAAGATTGAAATATAATGGAAGTACCATTGTCGACGTCTACATATTAAATTTTCGGTCAGGTTACAATTTTATTGCGCATTTTCATAAGTAAAATGGTCTGAAATAGCTGAATCCATATACCTTTTACAGTAAATCTATACATATATATAAAGAGAACCATTTTAAGAATTGTAAATAACTTTTACGTAAATCAATACAAATCTGTAATTAGACCACATTCTGCTAAAGTCACACTGTTGACATTTCCCGCCAAAATTAACGTCAACCATTTTCGTAAGAGGCCTTGTTCTTAGCGTAAAATACGCAATCTGTGACTTTTCAAGGATGCATTACGAAACGTTATAACGTTTGGAATACAGTCGTTGTATTAAAAATATAAATATAAAAAAAATGCATACCAAACAACGGTACGACATATCAAGTGTTTACTTTTAAATCTTTGTCACTATAATGAAAAATTAAAATAATTAGGCAGGAATTGTTTTTTAGGACTCTTGCTATGACGCATTATCTTGTCAAATTACGTGCCAAGTACATTTCTAGTTAAAGACATGACTACAAGTGAAACAATCCAGTCCTATATATGGAACAATTTTAATACTTGAATGACATCGAAAATGGTGTTCATTGAATTGTGCCGAATGCCAATACATAACTCGAAGTTTATGTAACGATTTATTACATGAAACATAGCTAGATTTGATAACACGTATTTCTTAGAGAAAAACCTTCCAGAAGAAGTGTTTTAATGCAATAATTAGTAGGATAAATGAATATTTGCCATTTTTCGGTGTTTTTACTGTTACTCGACGAATTTAAAAGCGAATTTACTAAACTGGACGCTTTGTAAAGTTGGATTTATGCGAAACGTCTAGTAATAGATTCGCGTTTAAATCCGTTACACTAAAGACGATATCATATGCAGATTTTGATATTACAGCAACGCCATTACAAAATAAGCATTCATTTGTCAAGGTTTGTTAGAAACACTTTCAGTTACGAACGTCAAGAAAAACATTAAACGATTTACACAATAAAACTATTTTTTTTATTAAAATCGTGGCAATAAACTGTTAAGTACGTAATGATATCAATTTGTGCATCAACAGTCTTAAGTTAGTACCGACTTACATATAATAAAATCCTTAAAACTTCTAAAATAAATCGCAACGTTACTTCAACACTCAAACCGCGAAGAAACTACAATTTATAAGAATTATTCCAAAGTCGTGTACTACATGATTTTAGAACCATAATATCGGCCATGTTTTATCTTTCAAAATGGTCATTAAAAATGGAAGCACAAAGATTATTTAACAAAATGTAAGCCTCAAACAGTTCAAGCCTCAGCCTAGCACTAAAAATTCTAAAACGAATAAAAGGCCACGTTATAACTTTGGTACTTTTAATGTCATGTCATTAGTTGAACCTTGGACATTCACCGTCGATCTGTTATGCCGCATATGAGATTTTACCAAATCGGAATTCACAAGGGCAGCCATCAAACTTAACTCGCCTGCTAATACAGTAGCGCAGATTAGTGAACCTAATCTTGCTGAATTCTCTGCGGGTCTCACGCCGGCTCCCTTTACTCCTAGGATCTCTAAGCACGCGCTTTGACCTGTCAAAACTGTCCCCCCACCTACAGTACCGACTTCCAGACAAGGCATGGTACAAGTAACATATAATTCGTCCCTATTCTCCCCACAAACCTCCATACTGGTGGAACAGTTACTGCTCGTTACATTCTGAGCTGGGTCCTGTCCTGTAGCTATAAAGATGGCCGTCACCATGTTCGCAGCATGGGCGTTGTTACCTCCAATAGAACCAGCTAGCGCTGATCCCGACAGGTTCTTGATTTTATTACACCGCGCTAGCGTTTTTGCATCGGATTTTAAAATTGTACGTAAACTCTCAGCAGAGACTGTCGTTTCGCAGACAACTCGCTTACCCCGCCCTTTTACCCAGTTTATAGATGCTGCTTTTTTATCTGAGCAGTAGTTACCCGAGAGACTGATAACTTCCATATCGGGGAAGAATTTTTTGAGGACTTTCAATGCGTTCTCTGCACCCTTTGATACCATGTTCATGCCCATTGCATCACCGGTTGTTGCTCTAAATCGTAGATAAAGCGTTGCGCCGTCAACACCAATGTGAACTTCTTGAAGCCGGGCAAACCTTGATGTTGAGTCGAACGCTTCTTTGATCAATTCATAGTTTTCTTTATTGTCTAACCACTGGCGGCACTCTAACGCTCGTACAACGTTTGGTAGTTTCACGGCCGGCGCTCGTGTCATTCCGATATCTTCAACTACACTAGTAACTCCCCTAGGTCCGATCGCTTTAGCTCCTCTATTTGTTGAAGCAACCAGGGCACCTTCTGTAGTAGCCATCGGTACCATATATGGCTTTCCATCTACTACTAATGGACCTGCATAGCCGACGGGTATACCGACAAAACCGATTACATTTTCGCAACATGCGTTCATCACTTTGCTGTAATCATAATTCAAGTAAGGTAAAGTTTTTATTGCGTCTTCGGTCTGGAATCTTGATGATATTACTCTTCTTCGCAATCTCACACCTCTTAAAGGATCGCATAAAACAACTTCTAGTCTGTGTAAGGGAATATGAGACTGCTCCACTAGCATTACAACTTCTTCGTCACTCAATGAAGTGCAATCGCCTTCTGATCGATAAATTTCAAGGCATTCTGCCATGGGTCGTTTCTTTGAGTTCAATTTGGCAACAGAAGAGCTTGGCGATAGCGTTGGCCATTCGGCTTCATCATAGCCTAATAAGTCCTCTGTTTGTATGCCTGCGTCAGTCTTCACGTCCTCTCCCAACGTAAACACCGGTTTGTCGTTATGCACCACTTCTTTAACAGTTAGGTCGTTCATATCGATAACCCAGTTCCTTTGTTCTTCAAAGAAAATAAATTTGATAATCAGAGCGCATAGTAAAGTTGCAATTACGAGATAATCAGCGGATACAGAGAACCATTTGATGTATGAGTGTAGTAGAACGTTATCATGCGGCGACTGCTTGAAACTGTTGCTCAGCGAGCCGTCTATCATTCCGTTATCTCTTGCCCAAGGCCATCTGCTCGTAAGATGAACGCACAGCAATCCAGCAGCCATAATCATCTTTACTCTTTGAACGACAGGGTTAGGTTTCAAGTCGGTTTCCATGAACGGGTTATCGCCAGTTAAATCTTTTTTACCAGATGCAAAGTCCGCTACCAATGATAAGCAGGCAGGATAAAACGTAACGAAGACTAGGTAATCTACCATCAAGGCCAAACAGGCAAATGTGCACATGTGTTCCAATCTGGGTACGCCTGACAATCCACCAACACCGACTAGAAGAACCGCTAGAAGTGTATCTAACGTAGCTGTCGGTCCCAATAACGATAAAGCCCGCCCCACCCTCTTTCCTTGGTCCTCTCCCGCGCTCCAGCCAGCTTTCGCCATTCTCGCACCCCTCGCTACATCAGCGACTAGTAGGAATAAAAACGGGGCATCTTTAATACTTGCTAACTCAGTCCAGAATAAGCTAGCTAATGCAGACGTGAATATAAAGCTGGCGAAAGTTGAGAAGACACCGGCGATGATTAAGAGGTACTTGGAGGCGATTTTTTGAAGGTTGGAGACTTGGTAGTACGCGTATAGAAGGGCGGAACAGCGCACAATGGTCATTATGACGGCGTCTGCAGCTTGATACTCGGCTTCGAGGCCGGGGCAGGCTCTGGCCCAACCCGCGCACCTTTCGGATCCTTGCCCTGATGCATGACGCTCGACGCTAGCTGCACAGGCTAATAGAGCTAAGGTAGCGACGATCACTTCCCACTGATGTCTCGCACAAAACTCGCCGTGCGCCCCCCAAACCTTCATATTGTCTGTGGACAAAGAAATAGTTTAGTAATCTTGATATAATATATCTCTATCTCTTATCTACCTCTATGAATATACGACTTTAATCTTATAATATTTAATGTATTAACGTAGATTTTATAACAATTTTAGACCTTTATCTTAATAAGCAAGTATGATTTGTCGTTTAATACGAATACAATAATGGAAAAAAAATCTCTTATTTATTTATTCAAATAATTGCATTATTTAATAAAAAACAATTACAATGTATCATTGTTCCAATAATTACTAGTTATTAATATAAAATTCTTATATTTATTACGATCCTTGTGAAATTATAATACCGTTATTATATGTTTTATATAAGCACGATTTCTCTGCATGAAATAAGTGAAGCGTATTTTATAAAATATATTTTTTTTTATAATATTCAAGCACAACCATTTATATTATGTAAGTATGTTAGATATAAATTGTTAGAAGAATTGCGATTTAATCTTGTTCTGAGTGAGTGAAGACTCTTCAAGTTAACGCTAAGATGACGTATGGAATAAGAAACATATTATCTATATAATTCTCGGGTCCCTTAAAAATATATAAACAATTTACTTATATATACTAAATTTTGACTATTGTGTGATATATATACATATATATATATTGCCTCCGACACATTGTTATGTTATTACTATTGTGGAGCTCTTTTGATTATAAATTATATCTCAAAGTAAGTTCTCCTTTCTTCTTTGGCAGCAATATTTAAACTAAGATCAATTGATCAACTGAGTTTAATTGTAATAATTTAAATAAATCTTTCGATTAATCTAATCAGGGGAATTTAAGCATTGGAGAAAAGAATTAAAAACCGTTTAACTGATTTATATTATGTTTGGTAACTGTACACCAGCCCTGCGATTCTGTAACTCACTTTTCGAACTCACACAGCGGTTTTCGCATCGGCGGTCGCTCTCAAATCAGTCGTGAAGCAGTCATTTTATGATTTGGCATTCTGAAAAGGTGGGAGCTTGTAGTTTATTGTTTATCAGAATGCCAAATCATAAAAAGACTGCTTCACGACTGATTTGAGAGCGACCGCCGATGCGAAAACCGCTGTGTGAGTTCGAAAAGTGAGTTACAGAATCGCAGGGCTGTACTCAGTCAGTAGCTCAGGATCGATTCCTGATCCTGGTTGACTGTTGCACATGGGCATATGCCTAATTAACACCGGATTCTTTGAGTTATATTGTAGAAATTCGCAGGTTATTCTTGCTGTATTTAATATTACTGCTTTTTGAAGGATATAAATGGATTACGAGACGTGTAACTGTGGAATTATTCCGGTGTTAGATAAAATGATGATGAGTCCACATCTTTTTGATTTCATTTTTAAGATCTGTATATTTCGTGATTATTATTATGTAATCGAAAAGAAAAATATTATATTGAGATCTATCTACATGTTCGTTATTAAATAGTACATAATATGACTCTATATATAAAATTCTCGTGTTTGTAATTAAACTCCTCCGAAATGGCACGACCGATTTTCGTGAAAGTTTGTGTGCATATCGGTTATCTGCGGACAACATCTATTTTTCATCCCCCTATTTTTTTATTTGTTAATTAAAAACTTATGTCATAAAATCTGAGGTTTATATACAGTAAAATTCACAGAAAAACCTAAAAAGTTTTCATTCCGGAAAACCGAACACTCATATAGTAGCATAGCAAAATGTTCCATGTTGGTATAGTACTAAAAAGGTAGGCTAAGTAAAATCACATTAAGGAGAAACGTTCGCTGGGGCAGCTAGTACCCTATAAATTTAGCAATTAGGCACCTTTGTCCTTCTAACACATCCTTATGTACATTAAAATCTTTGGCCTCCACTATATGAACCTATAACCTTAGATTAGTTAGCAAACATGAATACATAATATGTCAACATAGACTGGTTTATGTGTTAATTATGCTAACAAGCTATATACATATTTTATGTGTCAAATCTATGAAATCTTCAAGGTCACATTATTTTAGGGCATAGAAACTTTCGTCATATATTCAAAGGCCCATGAGACTACATAATATATATCTATATCTTTTGAGATAAACCCTAAGATAGGAGATAAAAATTATCCAAATGATAACGTATTACGTCAATTATTTCTGATAATAAATTGCAGTGTCTAGTGCATAATTAGCATTACATAATTTGATAATGAAAGAATTTGTGGCTTCCGCGAGCGACTATCATTCCTGAGGTCGTATGTTCGAACCCCGGATGTGCACCAATCTACTTTCTTTCTAGTTGCGCATTTAACATGCTAGAACGGTTAAGGAAACATCGAGAGGAAACCGGCTTGCCTTAGACCGAAAAAGTCGACGGCGTGTGTCAGGCACAGAGGCTGATCACCTACCTGCCTATTAGTGCCTCGTGCGAAATCAGAAAAATTAATTAAAATCCACAATTTATTCGAAATCTTAAATGATTTCTTTTACTTTTAAATTCAATTAAAATAACTTTTGATGTAAGAGCCGTTTCTTTTTATTTCATGGATATTATTTATTAATTGTTCACAGCACTATAATTACAAATTCCCAATTAAATTATTTTATTTCGTAACGTAATAACGTAGAGTTAAACGCGATCCACTGCCGATAAATATAGTTAAGCAACATTTGCCGAGGCAACAAACATAAGATCAAGTCTTAGCGCTTGGTATGAATCCCGTATGTTTAATTTAACACGTTTATCTCAGGAACGACTAGTTCAAAATATATTTAAATATGTATATTTTTTAGTTAGTCCATTTATCGATATTTTTGAGATGGCACTGATTTCTGACATTTGAAGATACCATAAAGAGCCCAGCTCATTGAATATGTATGGAAAAAGACCATTCCTATTTATTACATATCGATTCACCCCTGTCGCAAAGTATTGAATAAGAATTCAGAATCGAGGCTTAAACCAAAAGAAAACGTAATGAATTTTGACGAATTCATGGTTCGCGCAGTCTTTAGTTTAAATTTTAAAGATCTGTGCACATTTTTATGTCACGAAGAGACGATTTGATGACGCAATGTATCATCAAACTTAAGGATGTATTCTGCATAGACAGAACACCAATCATAACTTTGTCATATAAGTTATGTTATCATCATTCAGCAATTCTTTTGAAGCGCTTTAATTACTATATTTAGATTTTAATGTTACGTAAATAATCCGTAAATTGAGAAAAATTATTTAGGCTACCTTTAAAAACCAACAAATCGCTTCCAGTTAACGAACTTGCGTTTTCAATTACGATTGGGATAATGGTGATATTTTTTTTATTTTATATAGACTTGCGCTTCAACAAACTAACATAATAGCTTTTCAGTACTTTCTTAGGTAACTTTTTTTTCAGTGTACGTACACACGAATTTCCTGTCAGTAACCTTCTCAATTTTGTCTTAGATACAATTTACTTCAAACTTTATAGAGAAAATATCCCTTGAAACCAGATCTAATAATACAATAGAACCAAGGAATCTAATAATCAATTCAACACAATATTGAGATAAGAATATTACAAATTATAATTAAAGGTTCAGTATTTTATACACGAATTTCGACACAGTGTTGCAATTATTCTCGCAAAACCACTTAGACTTGTTTACATTAATGTTAATCTACCAAAAAAAATATCGATTAATAAATAATTGTTCGCTTTCAACCGCAAATAATACTTAGCAAAATCGATAGTCGAACATATATATATATACTGCTCAAAACAATTGACGGAACAAGATATTTCTCATTTCGCATAGTTCGACCCTGTTCAAACAAACCGTTAGCTCGGGAGACATCGAAATTCAGTCAGACTGGTTTTATGACCTAGATTACTCGCTTCAATGAATAACAATACTAAAAGGCTCATTAATTTCATTGATACTAAAAAATTTAAAAAAACTTAAAATGTGTTTTCTGTGATTAGTAATGAAAATTCAAAGGTCCTTGTTTTTCGCTACAATGCACTTGAATTTTTTTTAATAAAAATGCTCAAATTGAATTTTTTATCCAACTTAGATTAAAAATTAACAAGGCAAATAATAGCGTACAAGTTATTTAACTAAGCTTAGTTTACGCAAAAGAAAGGAGTAAAATCTTGTTCCGCTAATTCTTGAGCAGTTTTGATAAATTTAAGAAATTAACTAGACACTATAACATTACTTTATGACTGTTAAAAATGCTATCAAGACATAAATTGTCAAAACTAGAGTCAAATATTACGCACACGTGAATTTAAACATTCCTCGGCTTTTTGATAAATTTAAAAATCGACCTTTACTTATGTAAAAATGTTGAATAAATTGTCAATACTGTCTGAATTTTCATTTTTCTCTTCAAGATTTTACTATACTTCTTTAGGCGCGCTATGAAAAATTGATGAGAGTGAAATTTTACGATGCGCGCGCACCGTCACACAAAATTAACAGAATGAAGTTGCCCACGGATGATGCTACGGCATTGGACATAATTTAAAAACATTCGAATAATAATAGAATTTATGTTACACTTAATGTAAGAGAACAATAATAAATATTTATTTATTTAATTTTTCAAATGTAAACTGAACTTTATTGACTATAATAACTCCTTTTCCATTTTTTGATTATTTAATTGCAATTAATTATTTGCATCCAATCAAAAACTATTTTTAATAATGCCAAAGAAGTATAACTTCTTACGCGCGTACATAAGTACACGCACCCTTTTTTTAATAATAAATTGAACTATTAACTCTTAAGATTTTTTGGGTATCTTAAAATGGTAAACAAATTAAAATTAATATAATTCACTTATTTCGATCGTATTTAAAACACAGGAATACTGATTCATAGGTCAACAATTGAATTATTTCAATGTTGTGGTTACAATAATCGTGGGCGTATTTTCCTTACTCATCCTGGCTAAATGAAGAATAACTAAATATAATTCGCCACAATTTCTGAGTATTCAATTTGCTTTATATTTGTTGAAGACAATCGAGTTCGATAATTTAAAAATTTAAATTTTTGTTTACGCAACATCTGGTATTCAGCTGATCAGAAATGTTAGCACAATTTGTTTAACTTTATCTGTTAAATGATTTACACTAAGGTATACTTAATACCGCACAAACATATTCTGAATAATCTTAAATGTTCTGCTTTGTCGATCATAGTACCACACGGGTTTTAGCATTCTGGTAATATTACTGTTCTTACATAAAATACATATTATGTATATAAAAGCACTATCACCGACGGTAAAACGGTGTTTGATTTTTTATAATATATTTTCGTAAATTTAGGATCCTTTTTAATTTAAAACAAAAATATCGTTACTTCAAACCACCTTTTGTGTCATAAATTATTCCGTGTTGTATGACGCAAAACGTTTATTATTCTTAAGGCATTCATGTGGTATCAGTCCATCTGTATGCAACAGGAAATGTTTTGAAATAACTCGGTACCAGAATAAAGATCATCAAATTTCGATCATGTACTTGTATTACCAAAATATTTGGTAAATTATTCTATACAAGAAAAAATCCCATTGAATTGGTGACCTGTATTTTTTTAATTGCAACAAGCTTAGCCCATTAGACCTTGCATAGATATGTGGAATGCAAAAGTTCTCAGAACCAAAGGTTTTTAATATAAAAAACAGAACCTTTTACATGTACAGTACTGTTTAAATTACTTGTAAATAATATTTATTGTATTAATTATTTGCTTGCCAAATAAATTTATTATTTGTTTCGTAAATATAATCATACAAGATAATCTTCAAACACAAAAATCCTGACTTCATTATAGATTTTTAACAACAAAATTATTTGAATTACTACCAAAGTATGAATTTATCCTTTTTATGTTGATTCAGTTCAAGTAAGATAAACTTATCTAAAGTCCACTTTCAATTTCTTGTTATTGTAATTTTTTTGTATAACATTTTTAAAAAGTATATATACAGTGTTGGCCAATACAACCTTCATAAAATGTATTACTTGCTTACCATTAGCATACACCACTATCACTTAAATGCAATTATATGAGTACAAAATAAATTTTAGAATATTATCTATATTTAAAGACCACAATCATCATAAAATCACATATTAGATAAAACACCGCCTGACTGGCAAATTCAATTTAAGATAAATCTAACTTCCATATAATTTATATATAGATATATCTATAGATTACTAAATACAGAACTTTTAACGAAGCATATTCTTAAATTATCACTTGATATAATAGTAGTGGATTCATTAACAAATTACATAAAAGAATTATTAAAAGAAAACTTAAAAGAAAACAATTATTTAATTATTCCTAATTTACAGATTAAGTATGTGTAAGATATATATATATATATATATATGTGTATATATACTTTATCTTGATCATGATAAAAACAAACTCATTAATAAGATGTTTATCTATTTATATTTATTTGTCTAAAAAGTAGAACTCTGGTTTAAGTCTAATTTGTGTTTAGAGGCCACAATAATTTTCAAAAACAGAGGCTTTCTATTAAAAAATATTATTATTATTTGATTTAAAAGATTTTCTTTGAATAAAATACTATAACTAGTATCTGGTACATTTATCTATATTATGAAATGTTTAGTTTTTTTAAGCTATACACATATTTATGTTTTAGAATACAAATATGTGTAACACTAGGCTTCTTCTAAGTGGTCATCAATAAAAAATCTGTGCCACAAAATCAAGGTCAACAAGAGAGAGTTGAATGACATAGAAAGTTTACGTCTACAAGTTTCACTTTTAATCGGAAGCTCATTAATTTTCCTTAAATATTGCCATGCTACCTAATTACCTACGTTCACGCAGATCTAGTTTATTAAAAATATTATTTGTAAACAATCTACATCCCTTACACATCAGGTATTCCTTTCTAAAAAGATTAATAATATTACTCCTATTTATAATATCGTTTTTCGCGATGTAAAGGATTGATTTGATTTAACACAAAAATTTCTCTTTTTGTTACGTGAATATTTCATGTGAAAAGCTGACTTACCCGATATTTTTCCTGATTAAGACTTTTATCTTATTGCGCCAAATAGTAAAACTTCACAAATCACAACAGTTTCAATCATTAAAATTATAAAATTCAGGAATTTAATTAAAGAAAATCGTGTGATTTATTAAAAAATTGTGAAATAAAATTACTTTGACACACTTTTCAACATTTTCCTTGACGTCCGTCCACTGACGACCACAGACTAATTTAAATCTATGGAGTGAGACGCGAACGTCTGCTTCCTGTCGACTGTCGAGTTAGGAAGGAGGTTGAATTCCGACTGCGAATTGTAATTTGTAAATGCGAAATGCGCTGCGAGTAAACGATTAATAAACATAAAAAAATGTAGGTAAATGTATTGGAATTGTATTATTATAAAAAACAAAGGTACATGACTTTGATTTCTTATCGCAATTATGAGTTAAAACACGTCTTTTTTATAGCTGTTATGTCTGGTATTATTCAGTTAACATTTTTGTAGGTATATACTTTAAATAAAAATATTAATTTTCAAAAAACATCTATTATATTATTGATAAAAAGATGTGTAAATAATATCGTCACCGCGGGCACTAGACTGTATATTTTCTCAGATGCTGATGTTTCCATGGCATTATCAAAAATTTCACTTTTTCTAAAGCAGTATCTTCTAAATGCTAATCTAGTCGTGTTTGTAGTATTTCTGACGTCTATTTCCATGAGAGCTATATAGAATGCCTCAAAATATGGGATAAGCACGCTCTTTCCAAACCAAATCCACAGCATAATAAAAAAAAGTGTAAGTAGTATGACTTGGCAGAACATATAAAAATAGTATGGAAATATAATTGCATCTGGTGTTGTCAATTTTGTAATTTTACAAACAATCCATTGAATGACCATCCAGTAGACAAGGCATTGATTGGTCCCTGAGCAGAGAGAGACGAAGCAATCCCAAAGACGACCACACAAAATGTATGGGAAACAAAATACCTCCCACCAGTTGTGTTGCATAACATCTTCGGTTGGTGCGTGAAACCGTTCACCCTGAATTTCATCACAGCGTATTTTTTGAACGGGACGTTTAGGTTTCTTAGTTGGCATTTTGAAAATTTCTTTCTAAACCCTTGGTAAAAGATCGGAATACTTTCGTACATAATTTTCAATCAGACATTTTTATATGAAAATCAATGTCATAAAATTAGAAGTCAGCTTTTGCTAGTCGTCGTTCTAGTTTTAACGTGATAAAGACTATGATTAGTTATATTACCTGTAGGCGTACCTAATATCTAAAGGCGCAGCTATTGCCAAAACTGTCAACGTCTCTGTCAAAGTGTCAAATATCATTTATTGATTTTATCATTTTAGTATGCTTTAGACGTTGATATAGTGTAGTATTTTGTTTTGTGTAGTTTATAATTGCGTGATATTCGTGTTATTATAATGTATAAAACAACAAAATAAAAGAAAGCCATACCTTTGATTTGTATATCCACTCCTAATAAACGAATTTATTGCGGTAAGTTTTTTTTATGAGTCATTGTATAAGTGAAAGTTAGTTGTTAACAACTTTGTAATTATAGAAAACCAGCTTTTTCTTTGTCAGAGAAACTAGGAAGTTAGCTAAAAGTAGTAGTTAGTAAGTTAGTATGTAGAAGTATACAATTCTTACTTGCTTTATGTGCTAGAACTTGCTTTTTCTTTGATCACCTTGTTTTTATGGCTACTTAGTGTTATTTACTTACTACTTCCTATTGTATTATAACCTTGAGAGTATGAGCTTATTTAACTTTTGATTGTTGTTTAGTAATTTATCTTTTATTACCCTTAAATAAAGATTTTGTAATATGTGTCTTTGTAATAACACAAACAGTTAATTATTTTGTATAAGAAGATTTTATTATATCTACAGAATACCCTCATATTTTAGAGGGGGGGAGTGATTAAGATAAATGAATAAAGGAATTTAATCCTGTGACATTGTATACACATTGACTTAGCCTTAAATGCTATTTAAAAATATGTTGGATTTATTTTAAATTGATTAGTGGTTATTTTAAACTAATTTTTGAAAAGTTTGTTATTATGATATACTGTCCAATTACTATTTATATAGTTTGACATAGACATATCATTTATTACAAACAAAAACACACAAGATAACAATAATCAAAGTAAAACAAATTAATAAAAAATATAATGCGAGATACCTATATAAAAAATTTTTTTTGAGCAATTTTAATTACTTTAAATGACCTTTTTTCATAATTGTTATTTATTTACATTAGTAAATGTTTCATTCTCAAAATTGACTTGGACTCAAATATGTATTGGATTACAATTAGTAATGTTCAATTTTTTTTTAGTTAAACATGGAAGCACTCGCAATCATCCTGGTGTTAGCAGCTATAACAGTTCCAGTTTTAAAAAGTGAATACATTCCACCTGGACCAAGATTTACCTGTCCAAAAGAGACAGAAAAACATTTGATCTATCCCTGTGTGTGTGAGAAAGGGACGGATGATGGATTGTTTATAAGGTGCTCAAATGCTGGGTTGGCAGTAATGAGTGTTGGTTTGGGAAATTTAGCAGGTCTTGGCCTGCCAATAGAACAATTGGTGTTGCAAGAGTGCAAAATATGTCAGTATTTTTTTGTATTTAGTAGATAAGTAAACATTGTGTATTTACTACTTTACTCGACAATATTAGAGATGTCATATTTATATATATAAAATATTTTCGGATAATCTTTTGGATGATTTATAATTAAAACTGCATCTCAAAAAAGAAAATTATTATCATGATAACAATAAGGATATTACTTTATATTAATAATTCAATATAATATAATTAGTAACTTTACTACCTCTGTGGCTTACAATAATATAAATCTAAGTTTTTGGGTTTCAGTCATTATTGAAAGTAGTTGATACTAGTTCGCAAGATTTTAAGTAGAGGATTTTGTATTTTTACACTTCATTTGGGGTTTTTAACACCTTTTGTCAGGCTATCTTCTCGTCTACCTACAGACTTCCGGGACTTTAAATACTAAAGTTATTGATTGATAAATTTCTATTACCCAATATATTTATTTACGTCAAGGTCAGAGCCCTGACCATTTTGCCAGCCTCTTAGATAATGTTATGCAGTTTTATCTAATAAAATTTCAAGGCCAGTCTGGGTTGACCTCTTACATTTGACATTGATTTTTTTTTAATAAATTAATTTATATGTTGTCAATAGTTTTGAAACAAGTTTCAATTATCATTTTAATATGCTTAACAGTAAATAATTGCATTAAAAATAATTGGGAAAAGGCGTAACTTATTCTACATATATCTACACAGGTATCTATGGTCCCCGTGAGCAGCATTGTTGGCCTAGTGGCTTCAGCGCGCGACTCATATCTGAGGTCGTAGGTTCGATCCCCGGCTGTGCACCAATAGACTTTCCATGTGCGCATTTAACATTTGCTCGAACGGTGAAGGAGAACATCGTGAGGAAAACGACATGTCTTAGACCCAAAAAGTCGACGGCGTGTGTCAGGCACTGGAGGCTGATCACCTACTTGCCTATTAGATTTAAAAAACATATCATAAAACAGATTCAGAAATCTCATAAATCTCGTTTTTGAAGATAAAAGTACATTTTATCATCAAAAGCGTAGTGTAGACCCACCCAGACCTACCAACAGAAACTTTTTTTACAGCAAACCTGTTTGGGCCTCTCTTACACCGATCAACAGTGCGAGTGTTACATATAATAGATACTCCAATCAAGACCATTGATCAATACGCATTTGCTGGTGTAAATAGAACACTACAGCAGTTGTATATTAAAAATTCAAATATTGACGAATTTCCTAAAGAAGCTTTTCAGGTATGGTAAAGAAGCTTTTCAGTACAAATAATTATTACAATTATTTGTTTAGTGATCAGATATTGGAAAGTATACAAACAAAAACTTGGCGATTAAAAAGAGTGGTGGAGAGTTTATTGCCAGTTCTTCTCTTCCGTTCTTAGCCCTTGGTTTGAGAACTGGCAGTAAATGTAAAATTAGAAGCATTTCATATATATGTATATTTCCTTTTTTCTGAGGTTCATAAGCTTTTTTTTAATATTTTTTTAATTAATATTACTCTACTCCCCTGCCATCGTGTACAGGGACTTTTCTATCTCTAAAATTTACAGTAAAACATAATACATTATATACGCCCCGGCTACATCGGTAATATTATTATTTACAACATTCATGGGCGAGCCGGGGCGCAATTCCTCGCGAGACCCGCTCTTTCAGATTTGTTTGCCGTATAAAGACGGCAAACATATCTAACAATTTTGTCGCAGAACCGTTCCAGGCACGATCTTTATTAACGATGCTTTATTAACGGTCATAAGTTTACATTGTGTTACCTATATGAATAAATAATTTTGACTTTATAATGTAATTGTTTTTCGACGCGCTATGGTTGTATTTTAAAAATGATTGTGTCTGAGAGTCCCTTTATTTTGAGAAAAAATTACAAAATTAAATTCATCCAATTAAAAATTTTATTTCAGATTCTAGGCAATTTGTCAATATTATCATTGGACGGACACAAGATTAAATCTCTTGGAAAGGATATATTTGCTAACAGTTTGGCTGTTGGCAAATTAGAAAAATTGCATTTAACCAACGGTTTAATATCTGATATATCACCTGATGCTTTACAGGTAATTGTATGCAAATGCTTAATTCCTTCCCACCCAATTTTTATTCTATTTATAATTTTTTTCCATAGAATGTTTACTAAGCTTATTCTCCCTATTTAATTAGAATTTGTAATTTGATTGGGTCTTATCTTCTATCTTCTTTAGGGAGCGTTCAAGTATTACGTAACGAATTTGGGGGAGGGGGTACTTTTGTAAAACGTTACGATGCCTAAATAAAAAAGGGCGGGGATTGCAACAGTCGGCCTTATCGCTAACAAGCGATTTCTTTCAGGCAACCCTAAATAAATAAAAAAATCACCTAAAGAGGGCAAAGTATAAGAAGTGCATAAATAATTAACAAAAAAGAACATAAAATAACATGTAACACCAACTATAACTAATATAAAGTAAATCTAAAAAAACAAATTAATAGGTTTTTTAGAATTAATTTAGATATTTCACATTTGATTTACAGCATTTGAAAAAGCTAAGAACTTTAGATCTGCATGGCAATCGGTTAGTGACCTTGAAGAGAAGTCAATTTAAAGGATTGAGGGAGGCGGAGGTACTGGATTTGAGGTAAGTTTTTAACAAAAATATTTAAAATAGCACGCTAATTTCATAAAGTATCTCTTTAGTTGACGTACAATTTCAACTCAAAGTCCTTTCTTTGGGTTTCATTTTATTTATTTATTAAAAAGGAAAAAAACATGTGACGGTGGAACACAAATTGGTCACCGTCTTCCGAAGCCTCGACATTCATTACAATCTAATATATAAAATTCACGTGTCACAATGTTCGTTCCCATACTCCTCGGAAACGGTTTGACCGATTCCTTTGAAATTTTTAATGCATATTCAGTAAGTCTGAGAATTGGACAACATCTATTTTTCATCTCCCTAAATTTTAAGGGTGGTCCAACCCCTAAATTTTTATTTTTTAAGACAATACTTTTTGTTTTTATTTTTATGTATATAGAACATAATATTGAAATTTACATGATATATTTTATCGCAAGCCAAGTAATCCATTTCAGAAAAAAATTTATAAAATTACAAAATTAATTTACATAACTAATCAACTGCGCCCCCGCAGTCCACCCCAAGACACAGCAATTCGTGCTGGGATAGGGCCTTAACACGTGCTCGTACATAATACTAGAATCTTTATTAATCGACTTAATATACTACATTGGACAAAATGTATTATTCTATTAATGATTTGAGTGATACATTATAATATTTTTTTTAATGTAACAATATATTGTAATAATGTGATGATGTAGTGATATAGTAATGTAAAAATTTACATTGATGATATGATTAATAATGTAATATGTAACTACTATGTAAAATTCTACCTTTTGATTATGTCAGATAAATTTGCACTCCATTATGCAGGATATACGAAGTTTTGTAGCATATTCTTGCAAATATATTATGACATGCGTCAGGCACAGAAGGAATATAACAATTACCAAAGAATCGGGTCGTATCTCAGGCCAATACCCATATAGGCGTGGATTATTTATCGTATTTTTATTTTCAGTTATAATAATTTAACGAAGTTAGACGGAAGCAATATCGGAGATTTGACAAAACTCGGGTGGTGTAATGCTAGTCATAACCAGTTGCCTGATTTACCTAGGTGAGTTAGACTATATTTATTAGTTGAAAAATGTTATTACAGATCCCCAATGCATGGGCGGATCGTGAATTTGCTATTACGGGCTCTGGGCTATTACGGGAAATTCCCCCGTAATAAAACTCAAACTCAAAATATCTTTATTCATTTAGGTAAACAAGTACACTTATATAAATTAATTGTAAATTTACATTTACTACCAGGTCGCAAGTCAAGGGCGTAGAGCGGGTAAGAAGAACTGGCAAGAAACTTTCCGCCACTCTTTTTAATCGCCAAGTATTGTCATACAAATTGTTTGAACTGAATAGACGCACACGCGAAAAAATACTCCGACCGAAAACAACGCGATGGGGACTTCCCCGTTCCGTTCGATAGGCGCGCATCACTCATGTATTGATTGATCTCAGGAATTCCAACCTTATGATTGGATTTCTTTTTATATTCAAAATATCGCCTATTGTTTTCATTAGGGACATGGGGCTCTTGGTTTAATTAATTGATGGTTCGATAATGGTCTTGTTATGAGACAAGTCATTTTTGAAAATCATTGAATGCAGTAATACTTTGCAAAATAAAATAGTCTTCCTTTAGCAAAATATCCTATCTACGATATTAAAGGTACTTTCCCTTGATGCCCCATAGTCTCAGGACGCCGACGCCCTGTATATTAGTAAAAAAATATCCATTTAGCAGAAAAACAAATATCTTCAAATATGAATTTTAAAATGTTATAATATTCAATATTTATATAAGAATTTATTGCGAATCCAGAATAAGTGATCTTTTTCAGTCTTAATTAATTTTATTACATTACAGGGGCATGTTTGCAAGGAATACAGTAATAAAAGTGGTGCATTTGGACAATAATAAGATTAAAAAGTTGGATACCAATAGCTTTCGTGGTATGCGGTTTTTGAGGTGAGTGCATTTTTATCTATAATAATAGTTTAATACCGGTTTTACAGTAATTGAGTAATAATTTAATTGACAATAAGATTTTTATTTTTAAAAATATGTAATTAACGTGCTCTGTGCATGTCGAGCGGTCTGTCAGATGTCACTTTGACTTTGACATTTGTTAGTATAGTCTTATCGATACGTCGTATTTAAGTAAATTTAGTATAGATAGTATTTGATATAAAAAGGAAAATAAATTCATCCGAACAAATTTCTATCAAATTTTTTGAGTTAAATGTACTTAAAATAATTCTACTACATTACAACTAATACATTTTAAACAATCTTTATTCTCAAAAATTTCCCTTTTTTTCCCCCCCTTTTTCCCCCCCCTTTTCCCCTTTTTACTAGAAATTCATTAATTCTTTCACAGACGACTCTATCTACAAGACAATCAAATATCGGACGTAGGTCGCGGCACATTTTCTGCTGTCACTCGTATAGGAACTGTTGATCTGGCGAGAAACCTCATCACCAAGGTTGACTTCCAGATGTTCCAGCAGGTCAAATATGCTGAGGTGAATATGACAAATCTCTTTATTGCACAAAAATACCGGCTGTCAGTTTGGGAATGGCTGAATATCTTTCAGGCCGCTAGTTAAACGGCGCTATTTATTGAAAGGTTAATTAATCTAGTTGGCCGCGATATATACATTACATACAGTATTTTCTATTTGTGTTGATTTTTTTTGTATGTATGTAACCGACTCCTTCAGACTCGATTTTGACCCACTTTTAACGGACAGATTTAATTCAAACTTTGCCCACCGGTCAAAGATCGATGACAATGCAATAATCCGAAAAAAAAAGAAAAAAAAAAACTAAAAAATAAAAAATAAATAATAGTTTAAAAAAACTAGAACACACGCCTTTAAAGCACAAACTAAAAAGTGAAAAATAATTCCTAATTTAGGCTGAAAATGGTAATGAATAAAAATACTGGTATTATTGTGAAAAAGCGTGGGGCGCTCTGTGCCATATTTTTCGTCTATCGAGCAACCTCAAAATACCGTTTTTTGTCACTAGCTTTTCAGCCTAAATTAGGAATTATTTCTATTTGTCTTGTAAGAGAAGAGAATTTAATCTAAGTAAAAGATAATTAATTAATTTCTATATGGAGATCCTGTAACTTTATTCATTGTAATTTAATTTTGACGACTCATTGGTCTAGTGGTTAGTACCCATGACTGCGAATCCATGGGTCCCGGGTTCGATCCCCGGCTGAGACGAACATCGATGTGATGAGCATTTGGTGTTGTGCTTAGGTCTTGGGTGTTTAAATATGTATTTATACGTCTATCTATCTATAATATGTATGTATATCCGTTGCCTAGTACCCATAACACAAGCTTCACCAGCTTAGCATGGGGCTAGGTCAATTGGTGTGAATTGTCTTAAAAAAAAAAAAAAGTGAACCTTCTTTAGGCGCACGAGGGTAAAATTTTACGGAACGTCACGAATATGTGCAGCGTTTTTGTCGAAGAAAAGGAAGCGAGCGATTGAGACCGATTGAGAGAGAGTGGGAAGGGCGAATTACCTTATAGAAATTATATTTTTAAAATTAAAATTTCGTAAAGAGAATTTATGAAATATTTGTATTTTATATTTTATGCACAATAATTTATTGAAATCTCAAATGACGAATTGTAAATTAAAATGCCACGTGTTTTTATTATCGAAGAAATAAATTAAAAAAATTTAATTTATTATTTGTATAAATTTTCGACACTCTTAATATTCTAATGACAATTAAATTCATTAAATTCCTAATATATCTTCCTTTTTCCCTCACTCTAAGTCTCGGAAATCTAAAGTTTTAGATTTGTATTAAATATGAACAAGACTTAAAAATTTGTTTGCCAAAGACGTTTCACTTCTGACATGTGCACTTTTTTTATAGAAATGTTTTTATTACAGATAATAAATTTAGCAGAAAACAAAATCAAATTAATAGAAAAACAGGCGTTCACCGACCTGTATTTGGCTACTGTGAATATTTCGCACAACGAACTGACGAGCATCGAACCTGGAGCGTTTCAAAATTGCAACAACATGACCCTGCTGGACCTTAGTTATAATAATTTGACGGAAATTCATAAAAGTGCTTTTGATGAAAATACATACGCATCTGAATTTCAAGTGTCGTATAATCAATTCACAGATTTTGGACAGGTAATTATTATTGGTTTCCAATGGCAACACTAAAATAATTTAATGATTGCTTAGTTAAAATAAAAACTGCTTTTAATTTCATTCCTAAGTTCGATTTCGGCTACTATCGCCTATTTACCTCCATAATAATGAAAAGACAAATATCTAATTTAATGAGGTTTTATGGGGCTTGCGAATCGGGGCGTCTGTGTGTCCTTAATGCATAGATTTTTTTTCAATATTACCAAAAAAGTAAAACGAACCACACTTTGAATCTCAACTAAGTCTTCGCCATCGCCGTTCAGTTGCCTGCCTTTCAGTCTTCTATCGATTTCACTCTGGAGGATACTTGGAATTAGGGGCATTTTAACATTTTTTAACCCCTCCCTCCCCCATGGTGATACGTGGTGAGGTTTAAGACTACCCCCCCACCACAAATCACGTGTATTTTTAGTACCTATAAAATATCTTAAATTTTTTATAATATTATTTTTAAGTACTAGTAGATCAACGTCGGTTTCATCACGCGCACTACGCAGAGAATCTCTCTCGATCTAATCGTTTTTCTAAGCCGCTTTTCGGTTAGAAATCACGCGATCCCCCCCCAAAAACCTCACGTGATTAATGGACAGCCCCGAATTCCAAGTATTCTCTCGAATGAAATCGATGGAAGTCGATTTTTGATTCTGTATAAAATATGTTAATACAATAATTCCAGATCCCCATTCACAATATGACCGGTATAAAGATAATGAACGCGTCGCACAACGCAATCGAAGTGATACCGAGGAATGCGTTCCCCAAATTGTACGAACTGCACACAGTTGATGTGTCACACAATAATTTGAAGGAAATATCCAATGCTGTGTTTCAGAATTTGTTCTCTTTGAGGTATTTATTTACTTTTCGTTAATTATAAATTTTCCTACAGGGTAATCGCACAAGTTTAAGAAGCGGGAAGTCTTTGATATAGTTTTTTCTTTAAAGTATTAAGTAATCGTTTGTTTATTGTTTTAAAGAATCTATTAATGTACTTATGTCTTATTTTGTTCAACAATGTAATCTGTTTTAGCTTTGTGTTTTCTTTTGTAATATGGAGGTATAGCTGTAAGATTACTTATAAATAAATTAATTAATTAAGTAAGCAACCTTAGTAAGGAATATATGTTTTATCATATATATATATGGGCAGACATTTATACATTTCTTAATAGGAAGTAAGGGTTTTGTATTAGTGAGCTTAATTTTTAAGATATGTATTTTTTTCTTGCACAGTTTTTCACAAAACAAGCTTTAGGTGCTGATATACAATAAAAAGCTTTGGGTGCACAGCCAGGATTCGAAGGTACGACCCTAACGGGTTCTTACTGTGTAGGAGACTCACAAGAGTTTGAATTGGGATTTAAATCAACATAATATTTATAATGGCTGTGTTTTAATGTAACAAAACTGTATTTTTTCATTTACAGATATCTATACCTCAGCCACAATTCGATGGTACAAATAAAACCGGCGACCTTTGGTACGATTCCTACAATACTAGAGCTGGATCTGTCGCACAACCAGTTGAGCGACGTGTCGAGGGGGAGTCTCGCCAAATTGGCTAGTTGTCGACTGCTCGATATTAGTCATAATTACTTAGAGAAGATCTTTCAAATACCTATTAGTTTGGGGTAAGTTTTTGTTATATATTAATTTAATTTATCTTACGTGTTATAAATATTATAGGCTAATATTATCTTCTGTATTATTTAAAATAAATAAAGTTTCTCGAAGTACTTTCTTACTTACAATTTTTTTTTATTAAATTATGTACCGAAACTGAACTAGATGAATTTATTATTTAAATCTTTATAATATATAAAATTTTCGATTAAATTTTTTATATATTGATCTGAGAATAAGTCATAAACTATTTTTTATACGCCCAATGGCTATCGCAAAATATCGAAAATTGGAAAATGTGAGATAGAGCGAACGTCGCATCACGCACAGTGCCGTGGAGCGAGAGGTGGGAGAGAGTAATAGTGAGAAAGATTAAGAGAGAGAAAGTAAGGGAGATCGAGAAAAAATACACGCTATTGGTTGATGTATTGGTTTAGTTATATTAGAACTTTAGATGGCAATTCTGTCGCATAACGTCTTGTGCAGTAAACGCAGATGGTTTATTTATTTATATTATCATTAGCACAGTGTGTAAACAGTGTGAATATAGATATGTAATTCAAATTAACATAATAATCATTCGGTTTTACCAAGGGTCGCTCGACAGCCGATGCCGGTGTTGAGTTATATAGATATATAGTTAAGGCTTGGGAGGAGTCGCATACCTTTAGGTGTTTTCTGCGACTTATCCAAAGCATTTGATTGTGTCCAACACGAGACCTTAATCGGGAAACTCCGCCACTATGGCATCAAGAATACCGCACTGAATCTTCTGACTTCCTATTTACACGGAAGAACTCAGAAGGTTGAAGTGAATGGTAAGAGGTCCTCTGGGTCGGCAGTAGATATGGGGGTACCACAGGGCTCAATTCTTGGCCCTTTCCTCTTGTTTTTAAATGATCTACCTTTCATGGTAGAGAGAAAACATCAGATAGTTTTGTTTGCTGATGACACGTCCTTGATTTTTAAAATCAAACGACAAATAACAAATTTTGACGATGTGAACAATGCTCTGTCTCGATTGTCCATTGGTTTAGTATGAATAACCTTCTACTTAATGCAAAAAGACAAATGCATTAAATTTTGTGCAAAAAATGCAAGGGTTATGGATACTAGACCAATTATAAACGGTGAGGAATTGAATCTGGATGATACAACTGTATTTCTCGGAATCACCATGGATTCAAAACTTCAGTGGTCCCCTCATATTAACGGATTGGCGAAGAGACTTAGTTCTGCAGCCTACGCGGTTAAAAAATTCGCTCACTAACTGATGTCGATACAGCTAGACTTGTTTATTTTAGTTACTTTCATAGCTTAATGACTTTGGCTTATTATTATGGGGTCATGCTGTGATGTCGAAACTATTTTCATCCTGCAGAAGAGGGCTATTCGTGCAATCTATAATTTAAAATGTAGGGAATCTCTTAGAGATAAATTCAAGGAAATTAATATACTAACCTTTCCCTCGCAATATATTTATGAAAATATTATGTATGTATACAAAAATAGTGTAAGTTTACTAGAATAGAACATACGCACAATGTTAATACACGGAACAAACGCAGGCTGCAATTTCCCCGTACTAGACTATCTAAAGTTAGTAATTCTTTTTTTGGGGAAAGGGATACTCTTCTTTAATAAAATCCCAGAGGCTCTTTTTCACTGCCTTTCATAATTTAAAAAATGTATTAAAGAAAAGCTGTGTAAAAGGCTTACTATAAAGTCAACGATTATCTAGTTGATAAAAGGGCCTGGGACTAGTGCTAGACAGGCTACTTCTAATCAATTTGCGTATTTGTTTTAAATAAGTGTTGTTTGATGATTTGCTGTTTTAAAAGAGTACCGAGAGTTTTTTACGCCGGCTTTTTCTCTCGGCCTACACCCTCTGTCTTCTTTGCCGATGAGTAGGGATGCCTTCAAATTTAATGACGTGGAATAAGTGTACATGTATCTTTGTTCCATAATACATATTTTTTTTTTTTTTTTTTTTTTTATATGTACAAATACATGGAGTGATCATATACTGGTACATGATCATCTATTGGGGCTTTTTTAATTTACAAAGAAGTTTCACTTCTGACATGCTTACTTTGTATGCACGCACTTTTTGAAGTTATACTTCTTTAGGCGCGTTATGAAAAATTTATGAGAGTGAAATTTTACGATGCGCGCGCACCTGAGACACAAAGTAAAATAAGACAATCTACAAGTAAAAAGAAATAGAATATGCGTGAAGTTAGCAGCTATGCCAAGAATTTTGAATGACCATAATGACATTTACCTTTTAAACAAATAAAGGAGTTTTAATTATTTTTTCAAAGAAATTTAGCAATGCTTTTTCACAAGGACCTATTGTTACTTAGTTAAAAGGTTATGAATGATACCAAGTTATTAAATTGAATGAATAATATAATAAGATAATAAATAATAATAATAATTGTTATTAATATTAATTAATAATTGAATAATATACTAAATATTAAATATTGTTTACGTTAAATATTAATTATTAATTAATTATATTTTAAAAAAATAAAGAAAGCCAAAGAAGTATAACTTCTTACGCGCGTACATAAGGACACGCACCCTTTTTTTTGATAGGTACTAGTTTCTCCCCTTAATAGCGATATTAGTACTGCAATGATCTTCAAATATTTGTGGTCTTTCAATATAATATGGAAAATCTTTTTATATTATATATTGTTTCAGGGAATTAAATATAGCTCACAACAATTTGACTGAAATTCGTATTAACACGTGGCCAACAATGAACGCGTTGCTAAGACTCAACTTGTCGCACAACATGTTGGGGGACCAGTTGACGCACGATGCCTTTTCGGGTTTATTGACACTCCAGTCGCTGGATTTGTCGGCCAACGGGTTGACTAGAACGCCATGGGAGGCTCTGAACACATTGACCAGCTTACAATATTTGTATTTGCAGGTAAATTTTTGTGCCGTTTGCCTATGATTTACACGATTAAGTAAATTTATATTTTTAATTTATAAAACTCGAAACAAACCAACAACTATTTGAGGCGAAATATAAGGGATTTTTTAAGTTATACTTGTTTTGCCGCGTTAGAGAAAAATGATGAGAGTAAACTTTTACGAACCGCGCGCACACCGTCACAAAAAACCGACACCCAGAAGTTAGCTATAGTCAGCATTTTAGTTTTCTTGAAGTTATACTTCTTTTGGCGCGTTAATGAAAAATTATGATAGTAAATTTTTGAAGTTGTACTTCTTTTTTCTATTGTTAGATTTTACTACAAACTTAGAATAAGGCGAAAGATAAAAAAAAATCCCAACTCGAAAAAATACACGTCGAATTAAAAACCTCATGCTTTATTTAAAGTCGGTTAACAATAAATTTTCAGTACAACGAACTGACGTCCCTAACGAAATCCGCCTTTGGTAATCTGCCAACGACTTTTAAACTCGACTTGTCGTACAACAAGTTGACCGATATCGAACCACGATCGTTTAATGGAATGCAACAGCTGCTAGATTTGTCGCTCCAAGGAAACCTGTTAGAGAAGATACCGAATGAGGCTTTTAAAGGATTGGTTGCGTTGAGGTAGGTTTGAATATAATTATATATTAATTCAATTTTATGTTCCACTTTTTTTTCATATAGAACAGGGGAGGGGGCAAACGGGCAGGAGGCTCACCTGATGATAAGTGATACCGCCGCCCATAGACAATCTCAATGCCAGAGTAAAAGAATATAAGCAGAGATTTTTTTTTGTTTTCTTCACCCATTCTGGGTAGGCAAAGGGAACTATTCTATACTTCGTGGTTGGATTTTCTTTTTAATAGACATTATTTTGACAGTTGGGAATGAGAACGCACGAGTTCGGAAAAGGTAAAGAAAAAGCTCGAGTATATAGAAGCCCACATCCCGAACGCTATACGTCCTTGTAATACTAATTTAATATACAAGATGGCGTTTATGTCAATAATGACATATTAATTGTTGCCATTGGAATAAATTAGCTCCAATATTTTTCCGCAATATGGCGATATGTTTTATAATATTATTGGCCGTTTTTTTTTTCAGAAAATTGGATCTATCTCATAACAATTTGGAGAAAATAGACAACAAAACACACGGTCTGTTGGATGACTGTCTGTCGATTGAAATGGTAATATATAATGTGCATGTTTGATTTTTAAATGATACAGTTATTGCTTTTTTTGAAGTTATACTTCTTTTTTCTGTTAACTTATAATTATTATAATTACTTAAGATGTCATGTTTAACATGGTGTAATGGTTGCATCTCCTTACAAACGTTGTGTAAAACAAAATATTTGGCGATTAAAGAGTGGCGGAGAGTTTATAGCCAGTTTTTCTCTTCCGTTCTACACCCTTGATTTGAGAACTGGCAGTAAATGTAAAATTAGAACCATTTCATATATATATTTCCTTTTTTTGACGTTCATAAGTACATTGTGTTACCTATATGATTTGGAATTTTGGCGCGTTAGATGAGTGTGATGAGAGTAAATTTTCAGGATGCGCGCGCACACCGTCACAAAAAACCGACACCCTGAAGTTAGCTATAGTCAACATTTTAGTTTTTCCTATTGTTAATGTAATTTTTTCTACAAACGTAGAATAAAAATTTTGAAAAGATTTTAATCTTGTTACGTCAAAGAAGTATAACTTCTAACGCGTGTACATAAGTACACACACGTTTTTATTTTAAATCGAACCCAGGAACTATTTAATCGTAATCCAAGAATCCATTAAAAAATTGCGTTTGTTTCACTAATCATTTTAAGTCTTGTCTCGAAACAATAATAATTTCTTCAGAATTCGAACCTACGACCATTTCTATAGTGAATTTGATTAACGGGTAGACATTTTGCTTATTAGATGTTAATTTCAGATTAATTTAAGCCACAATCGTATAGGATTTCTGTCAAAGAAGATGTTCCCTGCCAGCCCCTGGATCCCTTACAAACTTTTAGAGATCGACCTGAGTCACAATGAGATACCAGTTATAACTTTGGATCTAACTATTGGAGCGAAAAAAGTGAAGAAATTGAATTTATCCGGAAATTATATTAATGATATACGTAGCAGTAAGTATCAAAATTCTTTATCATAAAGTAAACTTACTACTTTATATTTCGTCTAACTAATAACATAATATTATATAATATTAATATTGTTACGAGCTAGGGGATCGGATAGAAATCGCCGTAGATTTTTTCATGGGTTTATTTCTAAATAAATCAGTGAGGAATTTTTTACACTAAAAACCGGAAATTACGCACAGAAATTCACTAATTACACATACACAAAACACTGTCACTAATTACTTTAATTGCACGCAATTCATACAGTACTTTATCACTTGTCTTCACTATATTGATATATTCGCACTTTATCTCTTCGGTGTTTGTTTCTTGAAATCACATTCAAAACTGAACTGAAGGAATAATCTTGAACGATGTTCGAGAACTCTCTAGGCAGGAGTGCTACTGAGTAGCAACCGCACAATCCTAGAACGTGCGTACTCGCTATCTCTTTCGCACACTGCTCCGTCCTTGTCGTACAGCGTTCTAGAGTGCTCGGTCTAGCTTCGAGAAGGTTCCGATCTTGTTTTTGAAGTTGTACTTCTTTAGGCGCGTTATGAAAAATTGATGAGAGTGAAATTTTACGATTGCGCGCGCACCTATGACACAAAATTGGCAGTGTGATATAGCGTGCGCGAGCGAGATGGGAATAAGACAAACTACAAGTAAAAAGAAATAGAATATGCGTGAAGCTAACTTCACGCATATTCTAGCTTAGCAGCTTAACAAGAATTTTGAATGACCATGACAATTGACATCTGACAATGACATTTACCTTTTAAACAAATATAGGAGTTTTAATTATTGTTTAAAATTAATAATTATATACCTAGTTATTTTCATTATACAAAATATTTGTGAAATAATATAAAATATTTGTGAAAAAACTGTGCTAACCTTCCTGAGTGCTTCAATACAATTGAGGTTAACTATCCGTATGTATTATCGAGTATTATTGTTGATTAAAACTGAAACATGAACCATTATTCATTGCTTTTGTTTATTGCGTTTGTTACAGCAACTTTTTAGAAATATTCTACGACCCTATATATCAATAATTGAGAACAAAGATTTAAGCACGAATACTAATAAGGAGAAAATGAAGGCTTGGAGCGATATTACAGAGAAGTAAACATTTTAATAAGTACCTGCATCTCAAAAAAATGACCACATTATTTAATCAAAACATGTAATTTTTCAGATTTAATCTAGCAAATATAAGGACAAGAGACAAAAAACAATTGATGAATCAGTGGAAGTGCACTAAATTGAATACAAAAAAAGAGTTGTCATCTTATCGCCGTGAAACATCAAAAACTGGAGGTGGAACAAAGCCACCATCACCTTCTCCAGACACAATGGATATGGCAGAGATGATACCGCAACGGTTTGAAGTAGATTTCAATGAATTTGATTGTGATGGTGTCGAGGTAGGAATGTTAATTATAAATATGATGTATGGTGATGTTCAAGGTTCAACCTTTCAAGCATAGGCATATGCCATACTTTATTCCCCTACAGGGTAGTTAGAGATATTGTAATACCTCAAAACATCCATGTTGCACTTGTAGTACCGAAACTCTGTCCTGCCAGAAGTGAGCCCATTCCCACTTATAATGGACAGTGGGTATAATACACCTTAATACCTGAGTGCGAACCACTCACCATGATACTTAAATTAATAGATGTTATTTATATATTTCAGGTTATTACAAATAAAATCATTTTGGAAACAATTGATATCCCAAAAGCAAATAAAGCCAACAATGACAAGGTAATAAATCAGTTTTGACATAACTTGAATACTAAAAAAGCCAAACAAAGGTGTGCACAACAGTGACAACATAACTTAACAATTTCATTATTTTGTAGGATTAAAGAAAGGTTAAAGAAAATCATGTCGAACTGAACAACAAGAATCCCCAAACAACTCCAAAGAAACCTACAAGGAAGACACCGGTATTATATTTAAATTATCTCTATCTTTAAATAGAATAAAAGAAAGTTGCTATCCAGGTCTGTAGCATGTGCTACAAATTATATTATTAACACATTTATATAATTATATTAATATAAATGTGTTAAAAAAATTTATAATATGAATTATAAAAAATTTTAAGTTTTGCATGGACAGAGCTTAAATTAATATTCTCTTATTTGTTGCAGAAAGCAAGTAGTTTTGGAGAAGCCTCGTAGATGCACAACCAAGTAATGATTAATTTAAAATTACAAACCGAAATTCTGATGAAGACATTAGAGTCACTTAAAAATAAATAGTATAATGAAATAAAAATGTTTTAAAGATAAATAGTGTTTTATTTGTTTAATGTAAGAGAATAATAATAAATATTTATTTAATTAATTTTTCAAATGTAAACTGAACTTTATTGACTTTAATGACTCCTTTTCCAGTCTTTGATTATTTAATTGTAATTAATTATTTGCATGCAATCAAAAACTATTTTTAATAATGCCAAAGAAGTATAACTTCTTACGCGCGTACATAAGTACACGCACCCTTTTTTTTTTATGTATGGTGATATTAAAGACAAAATTTTTTGATAGCTTCTCTCTGTCATTCTAAAATAATTTTTAAAATCATCTTTTTCTGTGAGTCTTAATTCATTAATTAATTGGAAGTGGCTCAATTCCGTTCTTTTTCGCATCCATTCTTTAATCCATCGTTTTTTTTAGTTCTTATTTAACAGGCTTATTGCCATACACAATATGACACATTTTTTTTTATTATCCATACTTCCGCGTAGATCAAGGATCAGTTCGTGACTGAGCCTTTTAAAATTAGAAAATATTGGCAATAATATTGAGAAATATGCGGAGGGATATATTGTTAAAACAAATTGACAAACTTGATTTGACAATATTATTGCGTGTGTGCGGCTAGCCATTCAGAAATCTGAGGCCCAGACCTGAAAAGGTTGTAGCGCAACTCATTTTTTTTTACCCAGGAACTAATTTAAGTTTGTAATTTAAGCTTTTAAGTTTTTAGTTTGTTATTAATATTTTTTTTGTATTACTTTAGATTAAGGTTCTATATATATATATATATATTTTTTTATATAACATTTGGTTCAGCACTTCTCGCACGCATCAGGTTTTTTTTTTTAGTTTTTCTCTTTAACTAGGGTTGCCTGGAAGAGATCGCGTATTAGCGATAAGGACGCCCGTTGCATCCCTTATAATTTTTATGTATTGTGTTTCTTTGCAACGAAGTGTAAATAAATAAATAAATAATTTATATGCCGCGGTAGCAAACCACTTTACAGTAATTTTTTTAAATATTTCAGATGTCCTCGGTAATTTTACGTCTCTAGAAGTTCTCGATATCTCCAATAACCAACTCAAAGATTTAGTCTCGAGGACAGGTAAGATATTTTTTATTTTACTTGCATTTGCGCAAGGGCGTCTCCTGCGAGACTGAACTTGGCTTGGCTCGTGCGGTCAAAATATTTAGACAGTCCAATCAAAAAAGGGTGGCGATGGGCCGATGGCTTTGGTTTCAGATATCGTTGATATTTTTTGATTAGCAAGCATCTGCCACAATACAGATGAGGTATATTTGTGTCGATTGCCTTCACTTTACGCAAGTGAACTGCACACATAGATAACATTTATTAGTTAAAAAAATATCATATCCCTAAACAAAGACAAAATTATTCTCTGTCCTGTTCACACTAATACATTTCTATATTAAGCTGTCTTACTTTCGTGATTATTATTATTAGCTACACCGTATTTAATCTAAGATGATTTTAATTTATTTTTTTCAGCTGACTCAAAATTCCAATTACCACAGAATATAACCCACCTCTATCTTCAGAATAACTCTCTGGCTGTTCTGCCCATAGACAATATCGCTAAAGCACAAAATCTTAGAGTGTTGGACGTACGTCATAATGTACTGACGAGTTTTTACCCGGAGTTGATGAAATTGGTCGAACACGGATTGGAGGTTTATTTTGAAGGTATGTTTTTTTAGACACATATCCATAGAGCTGGTTAATAATTAGTTTAGTTAGTTAAAACACATTGAAATACGCATAACTGGATGTACGGTAACCTTTTTTCATTTTTATAGTTAAAAGTGCAAATTTTTATAGAAAACATTTATATATAAAGTCTATATTCAATTTGAATAAAAGTAAAAATCTGATTTATCTATCACAAAATTTAGTTAATTTCGTTCATACAAAACTGTTGTTTGACCATGCACTAGTTTTATTTATTCTTTTTGCAGATAATAAATTAAAATGCGACTGCTTCACAAGGCCTCTGAAGCACTACTTAAATAAATTACCAAAATCCAGTCTCGCTAAAGAAACAAAGTACAATAATATAATCTGTGCCGAGCCGCCATCTTTGGAAAATGTCAGTTTTATGAACATAGACGAAGATAGGCTGTTATGCGCTGGCAACATTGAATTGATGGATAAAATGAAGGAGTATGGCAATGAATATATGTTTACTACTGAACCGGATTTGGCGTTTAGGGATATTCAATAGTAAGTGTTTTTATTTATTTTTATAATAAATTAAACAGCCATAATAACTGTGAAATCTTCTACCCTTTTTTTACCTCTTTTCAAAGTTTTGTACTTCTAACCCATTTTTAACGCTTTAGTATCAATTATCCTAATTAATGACAATCTATATAAACCGAAGTATGTATTATTCTTATTAAAATATTATTTTTCAGTTCCCAATCTTCAATTTACGTCCATTGGTTCATACTGTCAACAGAAGATGTCGCCGATTTCTATTTATTTATTCGCGATCAAAATAATACATTGTACTACAGCAAAGATGTCGCCTACAACCTCCGCTTTTTGACAATAGCCATAGATGACAACTTCAAGACAGCGTTGCAAAATGGCGGCAAACTTGACGTCTGTATTCAAGCGAAATCGTCAAGCGGTTTCGCGCGCAAATGGTTCGACGGCCAGTGTCAGGGCGTTCCTTCGAATTTTGAATCCTGGCCGAAAAAATTAAATGTAGACAAAAGAAGGTTGAGCAGGAAAAAGGTTAAATATAGCTGGTTTTCGAATAATGTTCTTGGTTTAGTGAGTGATTCGATTTTGATTACTCTGTGTATATTTTTAGGTGTATGCTTTAGACGGTTATCTGACCTTGACTTATGATTTCTAGGTTATTCCTTCAACTTTATAGTTTTTTAAGCGCAATTTAGGTACCTAATATTGTACGGAGTTGCCATATACCATTAACGATTTCATTACAAACTTATAGTTTACTTTAGGTGCTTTACTTTTTGTAATTGGCTTTCTAGTCTATCTATGAAAATGTAAATAGTACAGCGACATCAGAATCTCTGAGGTGGTCCTAAACTAAAACTGTCTCTCTTTCTCGTGATAGTGATAGAGATAGTGTTAGAAAAAGACACATGTTAGAAAGTAATGAATTATAATGCAAGTTATTCCGTCCATTTGTGATATAATTTATGAAGAGTACCGAAAGCAATTTATTTTTTAGTTAAGTTCGTTTCTGTGATATGACAAAATGAGATCACAATTTTGGCTTTAATTTTTTTATATTTTATTGGTTATTTTTATATTGTTGTAAAACTGTGTACTTATGTTTTAAACACATTGTATTGTGTTGTTATTTTTATATTTTTGTAATAAATATCCGTCCAACTTTGTAGAAAATTTTATTGTGAAATAAATTATTTATAAATAAATGCATTTTACTAACGAATTCAGCATTTTATCCTATTCTGGATTTTTTGTCGACTTGATGCTCCGAATATTCAGTGGGTATAGATTTGTATGACGTTTCGCCCCAGCCGTGACCCAATTCATAAACGGGACCTGAAAAAAAAGTAACTTTCCATAAATGTATATATGTATTATAAACTATGCAAAGATCGCTTGTAATAAATGTTTGAGTCAATGTTTCGGCATATATTGAATTCTCCGCTGTCTCGCTTCTCTGTCTTGTGTCTCGTTCACTCTTTTACTTGATTCAGTTTTTAATCTATGATTCCTCACTAAATAATCGATTTATGCGTTTCTTTAAGGTTTTTATTAATTAAATACGTTATGAAGACATACCTGGTGAGCCAATATCTGTGATATGTTACCCACTGATCCCATTTAAACTTCTATATCCTGCAAAAACAAATTATATTAAAACCCCCGGCTCACCAGTATGTATTATGAAAACATCCATAGTGCACAATTCTATTTACCCTATACTAATCTGTGACTGCGTAAAAAAACAAACCGTTGTCTTTGGTTTTCGTACGGATTAATATTAAAACAGTCGATAAATTAACGTAAATATTTTACATTATTCAGTTTTAAAGACAATGTGAGAGGATCTTCTGGGCGAAAGAATTAAAATAGTACCCTTTTTTAACTTTCAATTTTTCTCTTGTGTACCTACCATTATTATTTGATCAAAGTAAATTATAACTGGCCATATTTTACTATTTTTTATAGTAATTTTCGATTATTTTAATGTTTAAAGAACTTTTTGATCGTTAACAAATGACAATTTAATTTTCGTGAGAAATGACATAATATCTTATAAATTTATTATATACAGTAATGTTTCGAATTTTTGAAATAAATCCTCCTACCTACTAGGTACATATTACAAATTACTTGACGATTTGAATGATTGACAGATTATTTCTTTGAATAGTTTTTGAAAGGGAACTTCTATTAATGTACCTATACTTTTTTGCCCCTGGACACTCAAAGCCAGAGTGCTCGCGAGTGCGTTACCGGGCTATGGGGGCGTAGAGTTGGTATAAATGAAACCCCATATATTTAAACACACATGTATATTCACTGCACTTAATAAATTAATACAATGTATCGTTTAACTATTATTGTTGGCTTGTGTCGCGATACGTGGCGTAGTTGCGATCGTACGACCTGCCGGCGACGAAGCTCGGTAATGACTAGCGCGAAGCGTCTCCCGCGCAGTGTTGCCAGTCCCCACATCAGCCCCCCCGGAGACCTATAGGTCGTAAAAGTGGCGCGGAAATCGAACTCTTCTGCCTGAACGAGTTACATAATCAGGCTTCTTTGCAGGGGGCATACTGGGAACTGCAGTGGTGTTATTGATAGGCTCCTCTTCAGTCAATATGTGTGCCGGTTTCACTCGATCTATAGATACCGTTGTTGTCTTGCCGTCCATTTCTATTTTCATGGTTTTGTCTGTCCTGTCAAGGACTTTGTACGGACCAGAGTATGGTGGTTTTAAAGACTTACGTGCGGCATCCTGCCTTACGAATACCGACGTTGCGTGCTTTAGATCCTTATGCACGAATGTTTTGGCCTTACCATGTCGCATAACAGGCGTTGGCTTCAACTGACTGATATACTGTCGTAGACGCGACAAGAAGTCACTATGATCGGTGATTTCAGTACCCGACGATATGAATAAGTCTCCAGGTAATCTAAGACCTTCACCGTATAACAGCTCAGCAGAGCTGGACGATATATCCTCCTTCCATGCGCTACGTATGCCTAAAAGAACTAAAGGAAGCACCTCATGCCAATTCTCGTTATCATGACACATTATAGCAGCTTTTAATTGTCGATGGAATCTCTCCACCAGGCCGTTAGCTGCAGGATGATATGCAGTAGTTGAGATATGCTCGGAACCAGTAAGCTTTGCAAGTTCTTTAAAGAGATGCGATTCAAATTGCCTTCCTCTATCAGTTGTAATTTTAAGCGGACAGCCAAATCGTGCGATCCACTCGTTAACAAAACCATAAGCCACACTTTCAGCCGTTATATCTGTTAACGGAATAACTTCAGGCCATCTCGTGAATCGGTCGACAGCAGTTAAGCAATAACGGTAGCCGTGTGAAATAGTCAGCGGTCCAATAAGATCTACATGAACATGGGCGAAACGTGAAGATGGTTGTGAAAAAGCGTGTATAGGGGCTCGAGTATGTCTTCCAACTTTAGAGCGCTGGCACGCTATACAGGCTTTCGTCCATGCCCTACAATCTTTTTTTATATTCGGCCAAACATACCTCTCTGTCATAAGTCGAATCGTAGGCTTAGCACCAGGATGACTCAACCCGTGGATGGAGTTGAACGCTTGTTTCCGAAAATCAGGTGTGAGGTACAGACGTGGCGAAGAGCTGGAGATGTCGCAGTACACTTTGCTGGAATTAGAGATGTAAATTTTCTTTAAATTTAATGAAGAATTACTGTTTAATATATCGTTCAATTCCGCGTCTGTATCTTGTGCTGCAGCCAGCTGGTCTAAGTTTATGTCCGATACAGCTTCGATTCTTGACAGTGCGTCTGCTACGACATTATCATCACCGGAGATATGTCTCACGTCAGTCGTAAATTGCGAGACAAAATCATAATAACGGAATTGCCGTGGCGAACATTTGTCCGATGCCTTTCGAAATCCTGCAACAATAGGTTTATGGTCGGTCCAAATCGTGAAAGGTCTTAACTCGACCATAAACCGGAAGTATTTCACTGCCTCGTAGATAGCAAGCAATTCTCTGTCAAATGGGCTATACTTTCGCTGAGCTGATGTTAATTTTTTCGAAAAGAATGCTAGCGGTTGACACTCGTCATTAATCTTCTGTTGTAGTACTGCACCTATCGCTATATCCGATGCATCTGTCACTAACATTAAAGTCGCCGTTGGATTTGGGTGAGCTAGGAGAGTGGCATCCACAAGGTTCTCTTTGCACAACCTGAAGGCCTCCTCGAGCTCACGGGTCCAACATATGGGCGTCGCTGCTTTCGTGTCATTACCAGAAAGAAGATCATGGAGTGGTGCTTGCACCTGAGCAGCATTTGGTAAATAACGTCTGTAAAAGTTTATCATACCAAGGAATCGTCTGAGTTCTCTCAAATTCTTCGGCTGCGTAAAGTTCTGGATTGCGATGACTTTCTCTGGAGTAGGACGTGTGCCTTCTGCAGTGATAAGATATCCAAGAAACTCGATCTCTGAAACACCGAATATGCTCTTAGAAGTGTTCAAAACAGCTCCGTGATCTCGTAGACGTCCAAGTACTTGACGTAGGTGTATCTCATGCTCATCATGGCTACGTGAGGCAATGAGAACATCATCAATATAAGGAAAAGCAAAATCCAGATCTCTTAATATTTCGTCCATGAATCTTTGAAATGACTGGGCGGCATTCCATAGACCAAATCCCATGTAAGGAAATTCGAATAAACCGAATGGTGTTGTAATCGCAGTCTTAGGTATGTCACTGGGATTGACAGGTATTAAATTGTATGCGCGCACCAAATCAATTTTGCTAAACACTATGCAATTATTTAAATTATGTGAAAAATCGGCGATGTGGCGAACCGGATATCGATCAGGTATTGTACGGCTATTTATACCTCTATAATCACCGCATGGGCGGTCTGTGCCATCTTTCTTAGGCACCAACTGTAACGGCGCTGCCCATGGGCTATCTGAACGGCGTGCAATACCTGTTCTTACCATATCTTCGAACTCACGCTTCGCTCTGCGGAGTCGATCCGGTGCCAATCTGCGCGGTCGGCTATACACAGGTGGACCAGGCGTAGTCCGTATGTAGTGTAGCGTCTTGTGTTTGATCTCACGTACCCCTGGCTCACCCGATGGTCTTGTAACCTCCGGAAACTCAGTGAGAAGAATGTGATAACGTGAAGTGCCTGAAACAGTTTTGATTTGATATACAGTAGCTGAAGCTGGTTTAGCACTTGCTTTAAGAGTTGTTGTTACATCCACTAGCTTGTGATTACGCACATCAACTAATAGATTGTAATAAGCTAAAAAGTCTATCCCTATTATAGGTTTCGTCACATCTGCTATTACAAAACGCCAATGAAAGTCTCTGCGTAAACCGAGATTTAAATTTAAATTGATTGTTCCATATGTATTTATCACTGAGCCATTGGCTGCATAAAGTTTGTAGTCACAGTTTTTTAACTTCTTATTATTAACATATTTATAAGGATACACACACAAATCCGAACCAGTGTCTATTAAAAATCCATTCTTGTGTTTTTATCTACGACAAAAATACGACGCACGTTGTTACGGCAGCCATTGTTCGTCGCCATTAATGACTGCTGTTGTCGTTTCCCTTTATACGAACATGGCGCACGACACTTTGTTGCGTTTTCTCTGAATGTGCGGTGATACCAACACACGCCACTCGTTGAAGCATCCCGTGAACGGCCATGACTGTGTGATCGGCGTCGCGACCCGTACGCACGCTGTCCCGATCGCGAGCGTGGACGCCGAGATGTATAAGTAGACAGGGCTGCGACTTGCTTGGTTAGCTCGGCAACGCAATTCCTTAAGTCTTTTATCTCGTCGTACGGGGACGCCACGTGGTTAATTTGTCCTTGACACAGACGTCAGTAACTGCGTCCGCTAGCGACGCCAAGGAGTCTAGCGAGCTCTTTGGTTGTGACGCAATTATGATTTGAATATTCGTTGGTAATCGGCTCGACCATATGGACCTAATGAAGTCATCTGGCATTTCCGGACCTGCGAGATTTTGTAGATGTCTTAAAAATTGGGATGGCTTCCGGTCTCCGATGTCCTCGTGCGTTAAAAGTTGTCGCACCCGCTGTTCTTGGGATGATGACAATCTCTTTATTAATTCCTCCTTCAATGACATATATTTGTCCGTAGTGGGCGGGTTTTTTATTATGTCTTTAATTTCCGAGACATACTTATATTCCAAATTTGACACTACATAGTTATACTTAGTAGTGTCCGCCGTGATATTTGCCAACGTGAACTGGCTTTCTATCTGTGCGAACCATAGCACGGGTTCGTCGGGCCAAAATGGCGGCACCTTGACACTGACGCTATTGATACCGGGAGCGTCACGCGCGTCTTGATTGTCCATCACGTCGGGGTCACCAATATATGGGGGCGTAGAGTTGGTATAAATGAAACCCCATATATTTAAACACACATGTATATTCACTGCACTTAATAAATTAATACAATGTATCGTTTAACTATTATTGTTGGCTTGTGTCGCGATACGTGGCGTAGTTGCGATCGTACGACCTGCCGGCGACGAAGCTCGGTAATGACTAGCGCGAAGCGTCTCCCGCGCAGTGTTGCCAGTCCCCACAGGGCTTTTTATTCGTACGCTCTTTTCTTGAAGGACCCTAAGGGCCAGTTTTTTGATCCGTAGTAAAAAATGGTTTTACCATTTGTTACATTAACTATAGTTAAATGAATAACCATTGGTAAAATCGTAAATGCGTTTTTCAATGCCTTTTTTAACTATAGTTAAACTTAACAATTTGTCAATTTGTTGCCAGTGCAATGAGCAATGACATCCCAAAAAATGTGGTTCTTTTTTGTGGGGAACATTTATTTTGTATGACAACACTAGACATATTGAGTGAATGAAATCCATTTTTGCCATCTTCATTCGTTATTTGCGCTTTGAAGAGTTTGAAGTGTCAAATTAATCTAAATAACACGATATAAATAAAGTTGTTTTTCTGTGATTTAATACGGTTTACACTTTTTACGATACTTAAATATATAAATAACGATGTCCGCAAACAGCCAACGGTCAAATAAGTAAGTACAAACATATTTTCGTGTTATTTATTCCGGTTTATCTTGTGTTTCGTAATAGAAAGTAATACATTTATGTTTTGTTAAAGGGACCATACTGCTAACTTCGCCAAAAAAGAAACTGCCAAACTGGTGATGCTTCTCAAGGATTACACAGTCGTAACCTGCAAACAACTGATCACTGCAGCAATCTACAAAAAGATGCAGCTTGGAAATCTCTGTGACGTTTTCAACTCAGATGGGTCTAGACACCATTTAATGAAGGTGTAGGCACATTTTTATATTTATTCTTGTATAGCTGTGTCCTACAACAAAAGGAAAAAATCTTTTAACCCTTTGGAAACAAGGAAGCGGATTATGATCCACACGGATAAAAAAATTGAGTTTTTGAAATAAAAACAAATAAGAGAGGATGATTTGTTCAATTATGCTAAGGAAGAGCATCAAAAACATTTGCTGCACCAATGAGAGGCCCACCAAAAATTCATACTGCATAAAGAGGAGGTGCACCAAAAAGTGATGCAGCAGATGGAAGAAAGGTACAATAAATATATGTAGCAGCAAAAAGAGTTGCATCAAATTGAGGTGAAATGCAAGAAGAAACAATTAGAAAATATTTAATTGCTACTTTAGGGTTTCATGTAAATTTTGTAATGTTTTTTTAATAAAAATGGTTTGTATTTAAGTTATAATTAAACAGTTTATTAATCAAGTCAAATGTTTTATTTATAAATTCTTGTAATAAAGTAGGTAGATGCTAACTCACAAATGTAATAAAAGCCCTAAAGAATATCATAGGTCCCTAACTAATGTGTAGCTGTAGTTTTTAGTATAAGTACATGTATGTACTTATAATAATTATAAGTTAATATTATTAGTAATATATAAATAATATTAACTCTAATTCATTATGTATTCTATTGCCTATAATTATTTTAAGTTAATATTATAGGCAATAAAACACATAATGAATTAGTAATATACTTAATTATATACTGCTGCGGTTCTGTAGCTAGTAATGAAGCAAAATAGGTTTGTATGAGCTGCTGTCTATATATACTCTTGTTCTTGTATTTTATTTAATTATAATAATTATAAGTTAATATTATAGGCAATAAAACACATAATGAATTAGTAATATACTTAATTATATACTGCTGCGGTTCTGTAGTTAGTAATGAAGCAAAATAGGTTGGTATGAGCTGCTGTCTATATATACTCTTGTTCATTGGCAGTTTAAGATCATTCCCAATTTCAGTAACAATCCAGAGCACTGTTCCCTTCGATAGGGGGTAACAGTGACAAAAATCTACATCATCCCAGGTTTCTAATGGCGGATGACATTGCCTAAATATTTTTGGTCACTCATTAACACATTCTCATATAATATTATCGTCTTCTTCATCGTCTCATTAATTAAAGTATCTCAATATGTTTAAATTCATCATTAGATAGTAATAAACGTATTTATCATAGTTTGATTTCTGTGACAAACAGCTGTTAGTATATAAATTACCAGCGGCCATCTTTTTAACCCTCCGATACTGAGTAGTTAACTTTTTTGACTAATGGTTAGATATTTTACCATTGGATGCTCTTACCACGGATCAAAAAACGCATTTTGCTGATATTTAACTAATAGTAACGATTTTTTACCAATAGTTGAGTTAACTACGGATCAAAAAACCGGCCCTAAGTCGAATTGGTTCAGAAAAGCGGCCTTAAATAACGCTCAGTTGTGAAACGACGGACGTCGAGGTGATACGGTTGGTATTTCGTATTATACCTCGATGTCTAATAAAACTCAGCTGCAGTTATTAATCCGAACAACTCCTCTGAACACCCCGTGGTAAAAATATCATGGTTGTATGTTTATTACGATTGACAGTCAATAATGTGAAAGGTAGCATTAAAATAAATAGAGAATTATTGAAGAGAATAAACAATTACCATGATGTTCATGCGGTGGCGACCACGCCCACTCGTGATGGTGACCGTGACCAGAATGTGCTTTTAAGGTTGTGAAGAATGATCCAACCTGGAATAAAATAAATATCCACGTGCATTTAACTACACCTGTTTTCTATGTACCTAATGCGCACGCGCATAGAATTACGTGAGATCGTCACAATTTTCTTAACTATTGTTTATGTATTTTTGGGAGTTTATCTAATATAACATATTTAAAAAATATAAATTTGAGATTATATTAGATAATAAAAAAGATATAAACAGTAGGTCTGGGCCTAAGCATTCTGTATTTGTTTCATGACCATTTGTCAATGGCAAGGTAAGTAGGTGATCAGCTTCTTGTGTCTGACACACGCCACTTTTTGGATCTAAGGCAAACCGGTTTCCTCACGATCGAGCGAATGTTAAATGCGCACATAGAAAGAATGTCCCAAAAAAAAGGAAGGAAGCTCGTAAACAGTAATAAGTATAAATAAATTTCAGATAATATTTCTTGACTTGCTTTCATCAGCCGTACTAAATGAAGAAACGTCAGATTTTGCTTCTTTCAAGGATGTTAAAATCAAGCTTTAATGAAACTGACTACAAATGATCATCAACGTGTGACGACTCATTGGTCTAGTGGTTAGTACCCCTGACTGCGAATCCATGGGTCCCTGGTTCGATCCCCGGCTGAGACGAACATCGATGTGATGAGCATTTGGTGTTGTGCTTAGGTCTTGGGTGTTTAAATATGTATTTATACATATGTCTATCTATCTATGTATGTATATCCGTTGCCTAGTACCCATAACACAAGCTTAGCATGAGACTCGGTCAATTGGTGTGAATTGTCTTAAAAAAAAAACTATAAAAATATATGTTAAATATATGGTTCAGCAAATGTATAGCGGCTAATCTAAGGATAGTAAACTGTACAACTGCCTCTATCTATAAACGCCTGAATACACTTTGATTAGTGATAAGTGCAGGTGATTAGTTGGCTGCGTAGTAACGTCATTAGAAGCGTGTTCTATTTTTTTGCGAGTGAACTGCGAGTAGCCACGTCACGTGCGCCCTCCCGTCCCCCTCACTCGCAGCGTGCCTGTCAAAATACGTCTGGACAGGCAGCAGGACTCTTCGATCAACTTGAGAGCAAAGTATTCCGTCGTATCTTCAGCAGCCAATTCCTTAAAGAGTTGGTAGCTTGCATCATGATTGGGTCTTCTATTAATCCATTTTCGAACCCATACTTTTCTTGCAAGTTCAGCTTACAAAACTTCTTCAGTTTCAGATAGCAGTGTGTTTAATACATACATCATTACATCATAGATCAGTACTTCTTCCAATTACAAGCGCGCTTCTCGATGTTCATCCAAACTTGCTGATTGACAACTGAATTTACTTAACAGAGCCACTAAACAAGAATTCGACACTACTTGCACTACACACCTGCACTAATCATTGTCAATTACTAATCACTTTCACTCTAACTAATCAAAGTAAATACAGGCCTTAACTCTCATAGAATACCGCGAGATCTGACGCATTACTTTACATTTCTCACCCGAGACAGCACTTATTGACCACTCGAAATTTGAACCTGAGACCTCATGATTTGCTGAACAAACACTAACCAATGTGGCGTAACATAACCTACCTTAGCTGCACTAACAGCAATCTTGCAAACGAGTAAGATGATACCAATAAACACGGATTTCGCCGCTAGAATCGTAGTCAATATCATCCAGGTCGACGTGGCTCCTACGTGGAAGATCAGTGGCATCATTCCCATAGCCATTTTCTTCAGACCACGGGATTCTGAAAAAGAATTTTTACACTTATTCTGGATCCGTTGTCTCTAAGTATTCTCACATATTAAAGTTGTACTTAGCGCTAATGTTGAGATTCAGAAACGCGGTTTTTGATGAACGGCTATGACATTTAATGTAAAGCTACCCCTTGTCATAATAATAATAATAATAATAAAAACTTTATTTATGACAAGAGGGTTGTGACAGAATTCATATATCGCTAGTCACAGTACACTAGGGAGGCCCTGTGTTGTGGGAAAACAATTATTACGTGGTACATGTTTAAAACAGTTAAAAAAAAAGAAAATAATAAAAAATAAAAAAAATATAATAATAAAATAAATTTAGTGTTACAAATTAAGTGAATGAGTGAGTGTGTGAATGGGTGTGTATGCGCAAGTATTTGAGAGTATAGCTGAAAGTTGTTATGATCGTGCACTGTGTCTGTGTTAGTTTTTGAAACCTAACACATATATATATAGTATATGTAGCTTTCCCGTAGTCACTGAATATTATCCTAAATCTCGGTTGTCGTCGCTTGCGGACTCATCTCTTTTACAAACATTTATTATGATTTTATAAGAATATTTATATAATATATAAATAAATAATATTTAATAATATTAATTTATTAATATATAATTTCTCTATTTACGTGCGAAACTTTACTTTTTATCTGTTTTTACCTGCCATGAGTACATATTATCGAGTCTTTTCTGTGCCCCCTAAACAGAATTCATAAGCTTATTAGTGTGACTACTGCATAAAATACTAGTATCATTTAATAAAACACTATTTTGACACAGCGTGCGTGGTCACGGTGACCAGTGACCACGCACGCTGTAAAGCACGCGAAACGTCGGATAAATTTAAAATTATGTTAAATAGTTGTAAATTTATAATAATACATAACTTCAATCCGGTCAAAATAGTGTTTTATTAAATGAATAAAAGTTATGTTAATCAAAGACAATACTATACTAGTATCACTTGCAAGTTATAACTGTTGCAAAGTAAGAGCTTCACTATATTTGTTATACATTAAAACAAGAAAATACAGATCCAGTAATGCAGTAATGAAAATATCTTACCTTCTAACCCCGTTGAGTACAATTTGGGTTTAATTTGGTCATAGTTAATATATTTACCAAACGCACTTTTAGCAAAATATTCATTATTAAATCTTTCTAGCAGTTGCGTAAAATATAAAACAGAGTCGGCTATTTCGTCCCGAATTTTAATTAATAAACCTCTTTGCTCCAGTTCAGTCGCATTACCGGCTGCCATGTGAATTATTAAAAATAAAAATGTCAATGTCAAATTCCGCGCCATTATCGTGTCGCCAATACAAATTTTATTTCGAGACTGAATACTAAAATTGTGGTCTACGAAAGTAAAATTAGTCATTATGTCCGAAAGCATTTTTTTCCATTCTATTCCGCTGATGAGATTGAAAAATGACGCAAATCGCTTTTTGACGACTTCATGTTCCCAATTAGTTTTCACCCGATAACTTTAAACTCTCTCACAGTAGTGACACATTCCTGAACTGTCATTAATTATTCATAAATAAAACACACTTTTACTAGATTTTGCAAACGAGACGCTCGAAACTTTGTAAGGGTAATGAAAGAAATATATCTTGGAGTTTACATGTGTTAATAAAATGAAATATAATCGAAAATATATTTCCGCTTTCGTTACATTTTTGTCTGTGTCTTAATAAATCTAATTTTTCCTCAGTACCTACCAAAACAGAATTTCCAAGTAAGAGGCATTGAATAAAGTCAACTGATGGTCATACATACTTTGAATAATTGTTAAAAATATTTGTTATTTAATCTATAGGTATACATCTTTTTTATTGTTTATTAAATCTAGTAATTATATTCCGCCTTTTATTGCATTTTTCTTAGTAATAAATATATATTTTGTAATTTATATTTAACTAAAATAATAACGATTTAGCATTTATTCATATAATTCAAACATAAATAATAATAATTAGAAAGTTTTCTTCATGCCTTACGAAATGACCAAGCGACAAACGGAAATCCTGCTTTTTGAGTTACGGCTTAGGAAAAATTCTTCAAAATATTTTTTTTAGTTTTAGATGTCAACAAAAACAAGGATCCATAAAAACTCTTTAATAAATCATCGAAAGACAAACAGTTATAACAATAGAGAACAATGGCGGGCTGTCAAAACTTCCCGCGCTTTTCCGCGGCGCAAAGAGAGCGACATCCAGTTGATTTGAATTCCAACCGATTAACTGCTCGTCGCGATTTTGAACCCGTAGCCATAGTTCGAGTGGACGGAAATATCTGAAACAAAAGATTGCTTTGTGAAAATGGCTTAAAATAATTTTAAAGAATAGAAAAGAAGAGAAAGTGCCTAATGGTGAATCAACTACTGAAGTTTGACAAATGTGTTGGAAAACTAATTATTATTATACAACTAGACAATTTGTCGAATTAATTATTAAATCTTGGTCAATCTTTGAAAGTTACACATAACAATTTGATAAATTCTGTATTTAAAACCATTCTGTCGCGATCAACTTTGTGACTGACTCACCGTTAATTTGGGTTCATGCCGAATTCCTCAATTTTTTTCCACTTTTCTTTAATTATATGAGCGTTCAATGCGAACATAGACAGAAAAGTCTGTTGGTGCAGTCGGACTTTAGAATGAGAATGAGAGTCACACACTCGATAATTTAAGAATATTGCGATTAAATAATTTTTAGTTTACTTGACAAGTGCTTCAGGTGATATCCGGTTAGTTCTTCCCCGTGTCACACTTCGAATGATCTCTGATGCTGACTTGGAGGAGCCTGGCTGCATTATTTCACTAAGAATAAACATGTAAGCAGGTATTATTTATAAAATGAAACAGAAGACATATTCGTGCATGCCATGTATGCAAACTGAATTTTCACATAGCATTTAAAAAGCCTTTAATTATTTTAAATTTACTGCTACTATAGAAATGGCTCCTTTTTATGTTGAGCTTGACTAGCAATAGAAAATGGAATACCTTAACAGCCTTCCAGCATCTCTACTCCTGTATATATCACACTCATGCAGGTGTCCCATATGTCCGGAGACAGTGCACAGCTGTTCAAAAATCTGGAACTCGAGTATCGTCGCCAGAAAGTACTTTATGTATTCCTGCAGTACGGTTATCAATTAAAAATTAATCTCCGAGCAGAGTTTTATTAATTCCTATGCATAATTTTTGTAATACTTGTTTTTTTTAAATATATAAATTTTAATAAGCACAACAACAAGGACCTAGCTTTAAATTTGCCCTATATAGGCCGTTCAATTAACTGCCTAGCCTTTTAACTTAACAGCGCTGTTTAACTAGCGGCCTGAAAGATAATCGGCCGTAGCGTTTGTAACAACATTTATTGAACTGGTTGGCTAATGCTCAGGCCATTTGTACGATAGAGTGATCATGTGTAGCCGAAATACAACAAAACATAAAAAATAAACCATTTTTATGTTATGTAAATTGATTGAGTCAGCCACAGCTAAATTCACACTATTATTATTGTCACTACACTCTTCCATTGTACTTGTTGTTTTTCATAAAAATTTGGAAAACACCATTAAAGTTGTGGTTTGCCGACGCCATATTGACAGTTTGAAGGGTTTCGATTCGAGTTTGATAGTGGCAGCAAGTGGAACCAAATTTAAAATAAGTCAGTTAGCAGCCTAGCTGTTTGATCAACTGGCTGAATATCCTTCAGGCCGCTAGTTAAACGGCGCTGTTTAGTTAAGAGGCTAGGCTGTTAATTGAACGGCTTATTCAGCTAGTTGGCTACGACATATATAGTTATTTCGTGCACTTATAAATTAAATTAGCTCGACACTACGGGGCTAGTGCGTAGACTCAAAAGGAGTAGTAAGCCTTTTAAGCTAGTGAAGTTCTAGCAGCTTAACAAATAAATCTAAAAATGTTAAACTCACTTGATCTGAAATAATGTGGTATTTGGATCCGGGATCAAAATCTGCTTCTGTCCTTGTAATAGGTGGTGTAACTCCCTAAACAATTAATTATAATGATAATAAAATAAAAAATATTTTTTTTATTTATTTATTATATGTTTCGGAGAAGGGGAGATTTTTTAAATTTGATTTTCGACTCCAAATTCGTCTTTGGAGACGCATTGTCGAACCTCGCGCTGAGTGAAGTGAATTCGATTATCCTTGCACAGTAGGTTAGGTAGTATACCGACAGCGACCCTGCATGCATCAAAGCGTGCGGTATTGTCATTCCCAAACAAATTCATTTAGCGCAAGTGGAAAAGTGATTTCGTTTAAACCCCCGGATCTGAATAGTGACTTTTTGTTCAACGTGATCCCAAGGTTACAGCATCAGGAAGAAGAGACACGGCAACCCCTTAGACCCAGTAGAACACGTAAAAGCTAAATGAAAATTTTAACAATTGGTAAGTAGTTCAGTTACCGGTTAAATTGACCAAAATCAAAGGTCTCGGCTGAATTCTATTGTATTAGGTACTTAATAACAACGTCATTGGTTGTTACGACTATCGGTTTTTACGACCAAATATGAGTAGTCCCTTTGATGTCGTTAATACAGATTTTGACGGTATATATATATATATTATATTTCTTCTATAATATTGATAAGAACCTACTGGATCCCGTAGAGCAAAGGATAATAAAACCCATACTAACTTGATATCTAAGTTTCATCTGCCACCATCTTGTGTTCATGTTTTCGACGCCATCTTCAAATACCGACCAGCGCCACTAAATTATCAAAATGCTTTATTTATTAAATCATATTTTTTAATGAAGTTTTGATAGTTTTTCAGCAATTATCGATCAATAAGGGTTGTGAAAATATAATTAAAGAGGAATTTACACTTTATTGGCAACAAATTCTAGAATTACAATATTTCAATTGATAAAATATATAGAAATTGTGAATTAAATTTGGATCGTTATATTGAATTGTATTTAAAGAATTTTAATAATGTTTCGAATGTAATGTAAATTGCTTTCAATAGAAATTCTTATTTTTTAAATTAATTATATCTGTATTATTTATATGTACCTAATTAAGACAATATAATCATATCATCCCCAACTTACCTGATCCACCATAAACGCGAAAGGTAAATAGGCCACCTTCTCCAAAGCCATGGACATGAGGAAGTTCATCGTCACTTCGTAGGGATCATGAGACCTAACGGTTAAACATAAATAACCTATAATAATTAAATATATATAACTATTATAATACAAAATGAATATTTTTAAACATAAAGTATCTGTGTGTTTGCTGTGTCAAATAGATAAAGCTAAGTGATAAACGTTTACTAAGAATGCTAAGTTAACTTTAAAACAAATATGACCAGTGTTTGCCTACTAAAGATAATTAGTACCAACTTAATAAAAATAATTTTAATACCTTATTATGATTTCTGATACCAATTTGTACGAGAGAAGTAGTTTTTTATTTAATTCTGTGATTTCTTATAATTTTTAAGGCTTTTCTACTGAAATGGAACTAGACATATTTTAACTAAATATAACAGGAGCCCTTACAAAAACTAAATTAGTTTTATTTCACTTCTTCGTCTCTTTCTATCAAATTGTATTTAAAATATGGTGAATAAAGACAGAAACACGTAAAGCTTTTCAATTTACTAATGAGTTGTATGTTATAGGCGAGTAAATTTTCATTTCTTACTTATTCTGGTAAAGTCCCACTCTTTGTAAATGTGGCAAGTTATACACGGATAATGTCGCCGCGTTCGCTACCGCCTCGTGGAAAGCTGTAAACGAAAGAAAATATTAATAGAAACACGTTTTTTATAAATTTTGTTAAGTAGTGATAGCTAGTAGAATTGAGTTTACTATATTCTAAGAAAAATGTTAACTAACATAAAGGCCATCTCAAGCTTGTACCACACCTTGGTTAGCAGTATATTAGACTACCCGTCTGTTTAGGCTCCGAATGAAACTGGCTTATGTTGAAGCGCATACAGGATAAGTTTACACGTTTTCTATATTACATATACTGTATATACCTACTGTATGGTAACTATCCCTTAATGTACGCAACGTTATTTGTCTTGGCACGGAGCCTTTGCACATTACCTGCATAGGTTTAAAACTAGGAGAAGCCCAACATGTGCCTGTAGTAATGAAGATCAAACAGTTGAACATGTGCTCATTGCCCTATATTCGCATCGTCCAGGCACGACCTGGAGCAACAAATGCAGATGACTGTAGACCAACGACATGTTAATAAAGCACAAATCGTGCCTGGAACGGGTTTGCGAAATTAAAAATTGTTAAATATATTAAGGCGGCAAACAAAACTGAAAGAACGGGTCTCGCGAAGAATTGCGTAAACAAAAATAT